AGGGGAGGGGAAACTAACTTTCCTGGATGAGGGTTAGCCTATGTATCTTGCTCATTTGTTTGGTATTCAAACGACCAAACCTTTCTGGAAGCTTTTTTTTATGTAGTATGGTGGTGGTTGATTATTTTCTTCCACCGGTACCAACCATACTTACGATATTTTTTTAAATTTTAATTTTTTAGCTTATGAAGAAAGATAACTGCTAGTTTTTCCCTCCGCACCTTTGAGAAATAAGAATATGAAGTATTTCAGATTATCGTTAAGAGATATAACTTATTTAACAAAAATTTAATTTTATTGGAACTTGGGACAACGAGAGCGAAGTTTAAAGGCCTCGGATTAACCTTACTGTAGGAAGTACTACTACTATACCTCTTGAAAGTTAACATGAATGAAGATGACTTAGAAAAAAGATCGGTATCTAAAAAGGGAGAATGTATTAAAAAAAGAGAATGTATTTGGAAGAGTTTATAGAGAAATCGAAATAAAAAGAACAATGTAAATACAGTTGCTACATATCAATTAAAGATTGATACAGTAGAAAGTGAGGAGGTAGAAGTGAATTAAACGTCAATACACAATACCATATCTTCCCATAATAATGGAATCGCTAAACGACATCATAATCTGTTAACTAAAATGCAAAAATCATTCCGATATATAAATTCATTCAGGTGAATTGCCTGAAAATATTTCTCGTTGCACGCAGCCACAAATCATATGATCCACAAAGTTTTATATACGTCACGTGATCTGCATACGTAAATAAAGGATTTACTTTCGTACGTATAACTTTTTTTTTTTAGTAAAAATGTGGCCCATTTATATACTCTATTACGTTGGGTAACTTAAAAATTAAAGCTCAACGGATATTATAGAACAACCGCGGCAGAAATTGAACTACCATCAAAAATGTACGTTAGATAATTGAATAATCACGATATAAAAAACATAATTTTATTCATGAAAAAATCGATAATAATTTCAGTAAATTCATATTCACAACCATATCTTAATCCTATTACTATATAAAAAAATTTACAAAAAATATATCTAAAACTATTTTGGTATAGTTACTTGTATCGATTAAACAAAATACTTTTAAAATGAAAAGAGTGATGTTTATAGTGTTGGTATACTTTTATGGGAAATATCAAGTGGGAAATCAATTTTTTAGATAAATGTAATCCCAAAACTAAGGCAATCCTCTCCAAATAACTTATTTCAAATAACATATTACTATTAACTATTAACCACCATTCATTATTCCAAGATAAAAAACTAATCCTAAAATTCTAAGTAAACGATTCAATATTCAAATATTTCATTTATTTGAATTATTTTGATTATAAAAGAGTGTAAAAATAAATTATATTATGAGCAATGGAAATCAGGTGATTGAACCAGTTGCTCGAATAATTTTGAAATTATATTTTACTTCTAATTTGTAAAAAAAATAAAATTTTGAGATTTAAAATATTTTGAGATGAAATAAATGGTAGATTGAGTTGCTCGACGACTATTTTACAATCTAGAGCGATCACGTAAAATTATGAAGACCGTTCCTCCGATATCTAAGACCGGAGTTCCAAAATTCAATTAACGTACATAATAAAATGTTAGACCTTGGTGCACCTTTCATGTTCATCCACCAATTCAACTTCAATGACTTCATTTTGAGTCGTTCACAAATGAAATCTCCCTTAATTGTTGTTGTAGTTCCAATAATTCCTCAGAAGGTAAAAAAACAAGTTGCGGTCAATGTAGGGGATCACGTAAATCACGCATGTAGTCAGCGTGTCCTGAAAGTATATTTCTCCTTATATTCGTGAATAAGAACACAGAGTTACTTGTTGCGGTATTTTTAAAAGCTTTGACATCATCAATATCTCATACTGTACATAAGACGGCTTTCGCACATTATAACACCATCCATCAATCATAATAACAAATAACGTATATTTGATCGATGTGGCATCCATTTTATCAAATCTTATAATTTAAGATGAAAAGATCTTATCAATATTTGACGGAAACTTGAATCATTTGATAGCAATTTCCGTATTACATGATTCATACGGTTCAACGTCCCAAACGTACTAAAAAAAAATGTACAAATAAATGAGATTTTAAAATTAAATAAAATTAAAATTGGAAAAATCATATAAACTATATTTACCACATAAACGATAAGTGATATATAACCAATTATTTCACGTATCTTATTGTTACCATTTATATAAAATAGTGATTAACCACTTGATGTTTCTAATAAAAGTAAGCCAACATTATAGACGTTACTCTTTTCATATAAGAGTATAGTATTTTTTGATCAATATAGAACTATACCGAAAAAATTCGACCATAGGTAACTTGATAGCATGTTTTGATGGAATAATTATGTCGCATAATGCTAATAATAAAATATATTAATAATTTTGTTAGTATAAATATATATTCTTACAAAAAAACATTAAAATTGTTAATAAAACGAATAAATTACCGAATAATCATGATGCACGTATAAGGCTCGTCGATACGAGCAAATTAATGATTTTTATATCTATCTTCCCAAGTATGTTGCTTAAAAAATTTCTTTTCAAATATCTTTTCGAAAAGAAACGCAGGCGCTACAAAATCTCTTTTTTTTTTTAAAAAAAAAAAATAATAAATTTAAAAGGTAATTAATTTATTGACTTGCATATTCATAGAATCAAGTAAGTAAAATATTTAAAATAATAAATACCTATACCATGTCTGAAATTGTAAAAAGCGAATAACATCATTATGAAAGTTACGCCAAGTTTAAGCTAATAAAAATTTTAAATAAAAATTATAAAAATAAATAAATTTAATATTAGAATAAGCAAATAAAAATATTAAATATCCTATAATTACCATCATGAACTATATTTTTCACATCGTATTTTTGGGATTAAAAAGTATTTTATGCTAGATATTATTTCTAATTCCTCCTGCTAATTTCTTTGAATATTAAAGTTTTTGTATATTGTATATTCAACATGCTTTTTTAAAAAGATAGTTTCTTTGATTTGAGTTGTCGGAAACTCACATTTTCAGACATAAGTAAATAATAAAATATGGAAATTTTTTTTTTTTTTTTTCGTCAAGAAAAAGCCCCTTATATCGTCAGAGTTCATGTGATGTAAATTAATTAATGATGTGCTACCATTCTTATATAATTTGGGAATAGTAAATTTAGGTTGATACGCTTAAATCTGATTGGATTTAGCCCATTAATTAATTTGACCAAATAATATTATAATTTTAATATTAAAAAAATTTACGATAAAGTTCCATATTCTAACATAGTATTATTATAACTTTTATTTCTATATTTTGAGTAATTCTACTGTTTTTTAAAAAAATTTCAAATTAATTAAAACTAAACTAATTTCCTATATAACAAATGGCTGTCTTATAAAACCTAAACGGGATGGGTAAATCTACCAATTTTTAATTGACACACGCAAAAGTTTGTAAAATTAAAAAAGTCCTAAATCAGATTATTGACACGCATGTCGAATTTCATGAATTAAATAACTACAAATATAAATTTAATATTGATTATGATGATGACAACTGATAAAGTAGACGCTTCACAATCGAAGAATTTCATAAAATTTCCATAGCATAATGAAGCCCGTCGATACGGATTTTTCTGGTCCTGACGAATCAAAAGTAAAATATCTGAGTAGTTTAATGAAACGAGGCGTTGGACATTTCAAAAAAAGAAAAAAAATTACAAGATAGTGATTAGTAACGACAAAAAAAAAAAAATTTCAGTATAGTCAAAAATTAATCAAGCTAGGAATGCTTAATTGAACAAGCAAGTCGAGAAAAAAGGACAATATTCACTAACTAGTGATTACTGTATTATATTATAATTACGCACGGTGTTAGAAAAAAATTTCCAGTGAAACTCAATTCAGTCAATTGCATATAGTTTAATTGGTCGGAAAATAATAATGCCTTTGAAACTGTAAAATTATGCAAATATTCATAGAATTCCATCATCAAGGCTTTTTATAAGCTAATTTTAACCACTTTGTAAAATATATTTGCAAATAAATCGATTCTGTCAATGAAAAATAAAGAGTTTCGGTTCGTTTGCTGAGTCCTTGTCTCGAAAGAAATTGATATGGAAAGTATATGGAATTTATACATTTCGTATATAAAAATTACTCTAAAATTGAGGGATATAATAAATAATAGTTATTGCGTCAGTCACGCAAGATCATGCTATTATTATAGTAAGAGTATATAAAAAGTATAATTAAACTGCAAATATATTTGATATTTAGCCAATAAAAGAAAAATATCAATTATTTAGCTATCAACAAAAAATATCAGTCCGTCAAAATCTGCATGATCCTATTAGACTGACCAATAATTATAGGTTATTGCACGGCCGTACTTGTTAATGATATGATGTGGCACAAAGTGATACCCGTGCAATAACAATATTAATGTACAGACCAGAATGACCATCATTTGATTAATCAACTAAGCTTTTAATTATACTTTTCATAAGCTTTTATATTAGACCTAATATCAAATTCATATTTTAATTTTAAATTAATATAACAGAAAACTAATTAATTTACACTGTGTAATATAGAATCATGTGTCAATAAATTTAGTATACGCAATTATAATAAATTCATTATAAGCATGATGTGTACATGATGATCCTATAGGGAATTTGACATAACATAATTGTAAAATTTTCCATAATATTATCTGACTGCAGTTGTCATACTTGAGACGAGTCAATCTTGACCGATTAAAGAAAGTACTCGGAACATATTTTTAATTACTAAAATTAGCGTTCATTACGCCTAATTATGTTACACACAGGTAATTGACGTGATTGTGCGACAATATCGGAATCTTCACTCCGAAGATCGATATAATTTACCCAGTTCAACATAATAATAAAAATTTGATACCTCTCCCTTTTCACTTTCAATTGTAACATGTCGTGTTCAAAAGTATTTTCAGGAGACTTACCTGAATTAACATATGAAGTTATAAAACATTTTCAAAATGATTTCTCAACTTTACATTCATGCATTTTAGTTAACAGATTATGGTGTCGTTTAGCGATTCCATTATTATGGGAAAATCCTTTTTCTTTTCGTACCGGAAATTATAATTTTATTGGAATTTACCTACATAATTTAAATGATAATTTAAAAACGAAGTTAAATAACGTTATTGACAATTCATTACCATCAAATACACTATTCAATTATCCTAGGTTTTTAAAATATTTGAACATATATAATTTTATTTCTTCTGTTGAAAGGTATGAAACTGCTATTAGAACTTCAAATCCCGAAAGTAGGTTATATTTATCTGATTTTAAAAGGTTGATTAATATGTGTGTATTACTATTTACAATATTCATTGAAAATGAAGTAAATTTGCATACCCTTGAAATAGAGATCTCAAGTACTTATTATAATACATGTTTCGATAAGATTCTTGAATCAATTTTACAAAGTACAAATTTTATTCATAATATTAAATATTTGAAACTTTATATCAGTAATTATAATGAAAATACGGTAATTAAAAATCGTATATTACCACTAATACATTCACATCAAAATCTTAAGAAAATTTTAATAGGTGATAATTATTTATCTTCATATCAATCATTATTATTATCAAATGATTATAATTGTTCAAATACCTTAAATACAATCATTTTCTATTATGTCAATTTTAAAGGATTAATCAATCTTGATAAAGTATTTGAACAATTAAATGTTTTAGAATCTATTCATATCTTTCATTGTTCTTCTTTAAATACTAGTTTTACTCAACAAATTATTAATTTAACTAAACCATTTAAATTGAAATCTTTATTTATAAGTGAAATATCACAAATTGAATCATTCCAATTATTATTACAAAAATCTGGCGATTATTTAGAAAATGTTGGGTTTAGTTCTAATTTTAATCTATCACTAGTATTAAAACAACAATTAGTAGAATTATTTATAAAATATTGTAAAAATATTAAATTTCTTGATTTTTGTGGGTTTGGAAGTCAGATTCTTACTTATCAAGTATTAAATTTAATTGAAAATATTAAACAAAATCTTAATTATCTTACAATTTATATATGGTATGATAATACTGCTGAAACTGAGTGTAGTTCAATCGTATTACAAAATTTAGGACAAATCCTTCCTTCTAAATTAGAATATTTATGTTTAAGTCTTTATCACATTAATGCAAATGATTTCGAAATATTTCTAAAAAATTCTCAAGATACTTTTATTAAGAAATTTTTGATCTATAACAATGAAGGTCAAGATATTTTACCCTCTATAAAAAAATATATCATGAAAAAGAAAAGAGCAAATTATTTGGCAATTAATGATTCTTCTTTTGAAGCTGCTTTATTTAATTCTAGTTATAAGAGTAAGGAATTGTTTTCATTAAAAGATGATGTAAAGGAATTTGAATTGTATAATATTAAAGTACAAAGTTATAATAGCTTAGTGATTCGCATAAGTGATTTTGTAAATGAAATTGATTAGTAGTAATTTAAAAATATCAGATAGGAATATTTTTTTTTTTGTATAAAGTGCTTATAAATTTACTTATTTCAAATAAAATATTTATTTATTTATTATTAAGATTATTAAGAAATTTTTAATATACAACAATTTATCAATCGAAAAGTTCGAAAATTCTTTATTTTATAATATGATATTATAGGTGAATTAATTCATTTAAAGGTGAATCATACATGTCAAAAATTAATTATATTTTCTAACTAAAAGTATTTAAAGGTTGAAAAATCATTCTGAAAAATCTTAAACTTCATAAGTTAATTCAGATAAATTATTTTGTGCTTGACATGTTGTAATTGAAATGGGCAAATTATATCGCGATATTGACGCATAATTCATGTCAATTATTTGTGTAATTATAACAAATTCATAATTATAACATAATTGCATTAATATATATAATATATATTAATGCATTCATACACTTTCTTATTTCTCCTAGAGCATACCATACAAATTTTAAGAAATTAAAGAGATTAGTTACAAAAATAACTAAGTAAGACTCGACATAACCTTGGATGCAATTGGGAAAAACCAGCCGGATCGTTAACCCTGCTGTCATACTCACAATCCCAGTAAATAGTTTTTGTATAAATTTGTACCAAATGGGCTCATCCATATATAATTGGCTCTAGATTGGCTTAAATTTGGATTATTTTTTGCATAAATTTGAGCTACTAATTTCGAGCCAATGAGCCCGTTTGGTATAAATTTATACAAAACCTATTTACTGGGAATATATAATATATATTGGATTATCTGGACTTATTCCTATGTTCAATAGCCCTTACCTTCATCAGGAATTTTTTTCCGTTTAAAATCCACATGGAAATCCACATCAAATACTGTGGAAATATGTGGAAATCAAAATAGTTCCAGTATTTTCCGAATACCAAGTGACGAAACACGTGGTATTTTCGGCATAAGTCCACGAAATTCGGTGTGGATCCATGTAGAATATTGGGAATGTGTGGAATTCCACGTATTTCTGAGCAAACCCACGTGGAATTACATGGACCGACCCATCTAAAAACTTCCTGATGTTTGCTTGACTTAAAAGTTATTTCTTATTATGATGTCTGGTCATTTTATTTATTTATTTTTTTTATTGCTAAATTAGATATTATTAATTTATTGAAATATAGGATTATCAGTCTCTTATATTATTTTTCTTATCATGTGATATTAGTCTAATGATATGAAATTTATATTTAATAAAGTAACTAACTGAAATGCAACTACGCGTTTTTGGTTTGCAGTTTTTTTTTTGAATTTCTCTCGATAGCATATGGTTTCTATGCAATTTGTACTATAACTTTGTTCACATTGAAAATAAAATAAAAAATAAAAATAAAAATTTATAAAATAACTAAATGTAACTGTAACTGTACATTTGACATCAATGTGTCAATCCGAGTCATACTGCCTACAAATTATAGATCATGAGTAATTAAGAGTTTTATGAATAATTGGTCTTACTCATACTTTGGTATAATCATAATAATATTGCCAAATAAAGTAAAGTATGCATATTAGTTATAATATATACTTACTAAAGTTAAAGTTATTTAAAATTAGACATATAAATCTGATTATTTTACTCTGGTCAATATATCATAATTATAATATTGGGTATTGACACTTCGTGTGCAATTAATGACTTATCGTTATGATTGCTATAATTAGTTAAAACTGAGCCTGATTATTATAATATATTACACACAATTAATTGATGCAAATTATGCGACAATATCAGAATCACCGCTCGAAAATTAAATATAAATTTACCTAAGTTCGACAAATTTGATTCCTTGCCTTCCTCTTTCCAAAATGTCGTGTTCAAAAATATTTTCAGGAGATTTACCTGAATTAACATATGAAGTTATAAAATATTTTCAAAATGATTATTCAACTTTATATTCATGCATTTTAGTTAACAGATTATGGTGTCGTTTAGCAATTCCATTATTATGGGAAAATCCTTTTTCAATTCTTACTAAAAACTATAATTTTATTGAAATTTACTTACATAATTTGAATGATGATCTTAAAACGAAATTAAATGAATTTAAAATTATTGATAATTCGTTACCTTCGAATACACTGTTTAATTATCCTAAGTTTTTAAAATATTTGAATACACATAATTTTATTTTTTTTGTTGAGAAATGGTTGAAATATTATTCAAGATCTTATAATAGATTAGGTGATGTATATGTATTATTGTTAACAATATTTATTGAAAATGAAGTAAATTTGCATACCCTTGAAATTGAGATCTCATGTGATTATTATAACTCATTTTTCGATAAGATTCTTGAATCAATTTTACAAAGTACAAATTTTATTCACAGTATTATAAATTTGAAACTTTATATCAATAATTATAATGAAAATACGGTAAGAAATCGTATATTACCTCTAATTCATTCACATCAAAATCTTAAGAAAATTATGATAGGGGATTATTATCTATCTTTATATCAATCATTATTATTATTAAAAGAATATAACTGTTCAAATACCTTAAATACAATTACTTTCTATGGTACTAATTTTAAAGATATAATTAATCTTGATAAAGTATTTGAACAATTGAATGTTTTAGAATCTGTTCATATCTTTCATTGTTCTTCTTTAAATACTAGTTTTACTCAACAAATTATTAATTTAACTAAACCATTTAAATTGAAATCTTTATTTATAAGTGAAATATCACAAATTGAATCATTCCAATTATTATTACAAAAATCTGGCGATTATTTAGAAAATGTTGGGTTTAGTTCTAATTTTAATCTATCACTAGTATTAAAACAACAATTAGTAGAATTATTTATAAAATATTGTAAAAATATTAAATTTCTTGATTTTTGTGGGTTTGGAAGTCAGATTCTTACTTATCAAGTATTAAATTTAATTGAAAATATTAAACAAAATCTTAATTATCTTACAATTTATATATGGTATGATAATACTGCTGAAACTGAGTGTAGTTCAATCGTATTACAAAATTTAGGACAAATCCTTCCTTCTAAATTAGAATATTTATGTTTATGTCTTCTTCACATTAAAGCAAATGATTTCGAAATATTTCTAAAAAATTCTAAAGATACTTTTATTAAGAAATTATTGATCTGTAACAATGAAGGTCAAGATATTTTACCCTGTATAAAAAAATATATCATGAAAAAGAAAAGAGCAAAGTATTTGGCAATTTATTCTTCTTTTGATAAGATTAAGGAATTGTTTTCATTAAAAGATGAAGTAAAGGAATTTGAATTGTATAATATTAAAGTGCAAAGTTATGAAAGCTCAGAGATTTGCATAAGTGATTTTATTAATTAATTGTCTAGTAATTTAAAAATATCAGATAGGAATATTTTTTTTTTGTATAAAGGTGCTTATAAATTTACTTATTTCAAATAAAATATTTATTTATAATTAAGATTATTAAGATTATTATGAAATTTTTATTATATAACAATTTATCAATCGAAAAGTCCGAAAATTCTTTATTCTAAAATTTGGCGATCCATCATCATAATTCACACATATATTATGCGTATTATGCTTACTATAAGTAAATATATGGTGAATTAATTCATTTAAAGGTGAATCATACATGTCAAAAATTAATTATAATTTCTAACTAAAATGCATGAATGTAAGGTTGAAAAATCATTCTGAAATCTTAAACTTCATAAATTAATTAAGGTAAATTACTTTGTACATGACATGATGTTGTAACTGTAATGGGCAAATTATATCGAATTTCGGGGTGATAATCCCGATATTGATGCACAATTCATGGCAATTAATCGTGTAATTATAACATAATCACAATTATAACATAATTGCATTAATACATATAATAAATATTAATGCATTCATACACTTTCTTGTTTCTTCTTGAGCATGCCATACAAATTTTAAGAAATTAAAGAGATTAGTTACAAGAATAACTAAGTAGGACTCCTTTCAGGCTATAACCTTGGATGCAATTGGGAAGAAACCAGCCGGATCGTGAACCCTGCAGTGTGCACCATAAAAATTAGAAAATTTTGCGTTAAATTAGATATTATTATTAATTTTTATTAAAATCTTCTAATATTTTTCTTATCATGTGATATTGGTCTAGTGATATAAAAATTTATATTTAATAATGTAACTAAATGTAATTATCGCTATTATGCGGTTTTGGTTTGCAGTTTTTTTTGAATTACTAGCATATGATTTCTATGTAATTTGTACTATAACTTTGTTCACGTTGAAAATAAAATAAAAAATAAAATAAAAATTTATAAAATAACAAGACAACGGATGATTTTTCGTTTAAAATTTCATTTCACGTAAAAAAAGAGGAATTAGATAGTATTTATTAAATTTAACAAATTATAATTTTCATTAAAAAATTGTCTTTCTAAACAGATTTATTATTTTACCCGGTAAAAGAGTCTATAACATTTCATTATAATTCTTCAGCAGTTGGTCTTTTAACAAGATCAGAATCCACATCTTTTTATTAATTCCAAGTAATTATTCTCCATGACTTCATAAATTTCAATTCTTCCCAATTTTTGTTCTTAATCCTTGACAAACATTTAAGGATATATTGAATATTATAACGTGAGAAATGATCTCTGGCATTCCTACTTTTGATAATGTATTGTACCCCATGATTTCAAAGAACCCAACCAAATAGTCTTAAGGCAAGGTAATATACATTTCTTAAATTATTGCATGGAAACCATTCTATAATTTTCTTCTGATTTCTAGCTTTTAATTGAGCTTCTGTATAAATTTATCTATAAATTTATTTCCGCAAGCCCATTTTTCGAAAACCTTACCTTTCGAAGTCGTTTAGAATTGCAATTTTGGCACCAATCCCAATATATACAGTATTTGATTTATTATAATCAGGACATGATCAGAATTCTTGATTAAGAACTTGTTTCTCATAAATTTTGTAAATTTCTTCAAGATTATTCAATATTTTCAGACATTAATATAACGTTTAATACACTATATAGTAAGTTTCTCGCATTTTATAATTTTATCTATCATATAATCATGTAATTAATAAAATAATCTAATTACTAAAACTGCCAAAATAAATTAATAAAAGACCGCTACTATTAATAAGCGATGGCAACTTAAAAACATTTTTAAGCCGAAATATAAACTAAACCAAAATGCTACGTAGATCTTTCCTCGAAAATTCTTTACAGTTGTTTGCATTTGATGAGGCAGTACATGATTAGCTTTCGTAATATCATTTACATAACTACTTCAGTTTGTAACTCAAATAATTAAGACATCTCAAGTCTGCAACAAGATTTAATAGTTATTCGGCTTGAAGTGCCAAATAAGTGATTTATCTGATGTAACCATTAAACTTTTTTAAACTTTACCTGATGCACATGATATTTTGTCAATCATCAATTATAAAATACCGGATAATCTTTATTTATTTATTTATTTATTACATAATAATTTAAAAATTAGTAATACAAGGAGATTTAAGAGAAATCTCAATTTAATTAATTGATTTCCTTGAATTACTAGAAAATGCGAGAATGTACTAAATTATAAATTAGCTTATTGTGTCAGTTTTTTTATTTTAGAAGCAATTTTAAATAAATTAGCTGCCTTTTCTTTATCAATATCAGTTCCGATTCCTCTTTTATAATATCCTAATAGTACATATATTCCTTTCAAGTAACCTTTTTCAATATAATATTTAATATGTTTAAATGCTTCAGCTTCATTTTTTTCAACGACCTCATAAAATTTAGCTAAAAGATAATACGCAGATTCATATCCATTTTCTGCTGCTTTTTTATACCAATAAATGGCTTTTCTTGAATCTCGATCAATTTCTTCACCTTTTTCGTATAAATATCCTAAACAACATTGTGCATAAGAATATTCTTGTTCAGCTGACTTTTCATACCACCATACCGCTTTTTTTATATCCTTTTCTACAAATCCAGACCCTCCTTTTTCAAAATAAAATCCTAAAATTAATTGAGCATATTTATTTCCATCATTCGCTGCATTTTTGTACCACTTAAATGCTTCAACACAACTTTTCTCAACAATAATTCCTTCTTCATAAAATCTTCCTAAATATAATTGCGCGTGTTTATTTCCTTTTATTGCCTCTTTTTCAATCAAATGAACTGATTCTTTTAATTGTTTTTCAGAACCTATTCCTTTTAAATATAAATGTCCTAATATATATATTGCACTGTAACATCCTTGTTTGGCCGATCTTTCAAATAATTCAAATGGTTCAAAATCCTCCTTCTGAGCACTCAAACAATTATCATAATATGTACCTATATGAGATTGTTCAAATTTTCTTCCTTTTTTTATTGCTCTTTCAGTCCAATAAAATGAGTTTTCAAAATCTTTTTTCTCTTTTTCATATAATATTCCAAGTCCAAGTTGAGTAATAATATACCCTTGTCTAGCTGATTTTTCAAACCATTCAATTGATTTATCATAATCTTTTTCTATACCTATACCACATAAATAACATCTACCTAAATTAAATTGTAAAATTTTATTTCCACTTATTGCTGCTTTTTCATAACATTTGAATGCTTTAAAATTATCTTTTTCAATACCATTTCCATTTTCATAACATTTACCTAAATAAAATTGTGCAAGTTTACTTCCATTTTCTGCCGATTTTTGATACCAATAAAAGGCTTTTTTAGGATCTTTATACAATTTACCTAAATAGAATTGAGCAATAGGATAATTATCTTTTGATGCTTTTAAAAACAATTTAAATGCTTTATATTCATCTTTCTCTATAATAATGATTCCATTATAATAAAGAAAGCCACGAAAAAAAATATATTTTGATGATGTTTTATTTCTAATAAGCCAATCGAAAATTTTAATTTTTAAAAACTTATCAATATCTTGAATATTTTGATTGATGATTTCTCTTGTTTCGATAGGAAAATAACACAATTCATCATGAACTCTAATCAAATGATTAATTAATTTATCAACAATTTTTTCAACATTATTAGTTGAATCAGTTAAATTAAGTATTAATAAATTGTTTTTTACATAATCAAACGTGTTTAAACTGAAGTCATCATCTATCATAATTTTTGAAAAGTTGTCGTATATAGATAAATCATCATAATCATTCATCTCAATTTCATTTGCAGAATAATCAATTATTGATTTAAGATATGAAACTACTATTTGAATAGATGGTCTTTCATCAAGATCATCTGACCAACACGCTAAAAATAGAATTTTACATCATTAATTGTCATGTAAATCATCCCACCCATTCCACTGTGATGATACGTACCTGTATATATATCACTATATTCAACAGGTGTGTCCTCTATGATCTCTTCTCTTTTTCCATTTACTATATCCATGGCTAAACTTATATCATATTGTGTACCTTCATCATAAAAAGGTCTACGTCCGCTTGACAATAACCAGAAAAGAACTCCTATACTATAAATGTCTGATTTAAAATTCATTATATGGGGTTGACTTTCACATTTGATATTAAATGCATCATTAAAGTTTTTTGGATCTAAATAAGGAAGAAAATCTAATACTTTATTGGAGTAATTTGATATTTCATTCACCCTTTTAAATAAGCCAAAATCTGCAATCTTAATGATATTTTTATGTACCAGTACATTTTGCGCATGCTAAAAATATATATAAACAAATGAATAATCGTTGATTCATGTAACGATAAGAAGAAATATTTTAAATAATTAATACGTACCAGATTAGAGTGGATTATACCTTTACTATGAATAAAGTCTATAGCATTTGCGAGTTGTAACGCTAAACAATATTTATCATCCCATCCAAGTTTAGTGAAACTTTTCTTCAAATAAGAATATAATGATCCATCATCCGCGTACTCTAACACTAATGAATACTGATTGTCTAATTTTGAAATTCCATAAATTTGTAAAATATTTTTATGAAAATTAACTTCTTGCTGCGCTTTGAGCTGTTATTTATATATATTTGATAAATAAGATTTTTGTGAAATTATTAATTATATGAAATATATTAAAATTTTAAATACCTCATTTACAATTTTTTCAGCGTCCAATTCGTACGATGTTTTCACGACCAAATTAGTATTAGTGTTATTCCAGTTTGCTTTAAATATTTTTCCGACCGAATTATTACTATTTTCAATTTTTTTTTTATTTTTAAATTCGTTATGATCATAGTATGTAATAAAATTATTCTCAATTGCTTTTCTTATCCAATCAACGTAATTGAAATCTTTGTTTTGTTCTTCGGTTATCGACATTTTTTTTTTTTAAAAAAAAAAACCGTTTTTATTTTTTTCTTTAACGCTCTTATATAAAATTCGATTGTACTACCGATTTTTATGTTTGTCGTTAGTCATTAGTTGTAAGAACAGGTTTTGACCGCTATTAATTGTAAGATTGTTCGGAATGATAATGATAATCTCCACTGATTCCTAACCCATATTAGGTTAGGAATAAAATACCATGGTCTAACATGTGATATAATAAGTGCTTACACCTGAAAGATCATCCTATAATGTACATTTTTGTTCTAATTTCGTCATTACAAAGACAGACATTATGTAAAAACATAATTATGTATTGTCTTTTTTTTTTTTTAGATAACGCCAACTGCATACATGGTTCCAATACATGACTTGTATACTGTATTTGAGAATAGCTCGTTCGAAATCATTGTTTAAAATTGCAACTTACTATAGGCAACCTTATTTCCTTAAATATTTATTAATGTTTTACAAGAGATATTTTTTTTAATTTATAATGAAATCCAACTTTATTAATAAATATCTGATATTGTCTATATAAAAGCAAACGCAATTTAAAAAAGGTTCTTAACTGGTCACCATACATCAAATCCTCTAGTTATTAAACAAAACGTATAATGCGCAAAAAATTATTCGGTTCTTTTTTTTTCTTAGATTCTCATTTATTATTTATTATTTTTTTCTTTTTCTTTTTTTTTTAAAAAAAAAACCTATAACTAACCAATCTATCTAATTACTATACTAGATATATAACTATATAATCATAATCTAATTATTCTAACTACAATTTAACTTTCGTTCCCCAAGTATTCTTAAAAGGTCTATCATTGGTTACATCCCTAATAAACTATCTCTTGTTGCTAATTTTACTAATTTTTCTGTATTTTTTTCGTTTATGTTTAAACTATTTTCATTTGTTTTTTCGATTTTTCTTGAAAATTCTCTATATATTTTCCATAACAAAATCCCCACAAATCTCCAATTAGAGCCTTGTATTCGATATCTCGTCAAATTTTCTATTATAAACTCCTCTCAAAAGTTCCCATATTCTATTAAATCCTAATAAAATATCTGATTGATGCATCATTATTTCACAAATTAATATATGTATTCGTTATTTGATAGGGGGATTAGAATATCACCGAACTGCGAAGCAGTTCGGATGATATTTTAACACTCCTATCAAATAACTGTTATTCTGCAGCCGCCAATGATCATCTTATAAATACAATTAACATCAAAAATATCGATAATAATTATGCAATGGCAGTTTATTTATAGCTTAATAAAAAAATATCAGCATGATGAAAAAGTAGAATAACACGTGGTATCTCCAATTCTTCTTTTTATCTTCTAATATTAATTTTTTCTTCGTACTCAAATATTGTCTCATAAAATTTCTTCTATCGTGGCTTCATTTCTTTCGCATTTCCAAATATGAAACCAATCTTCTATTTCATTATTGCATCTTGGACATGTTTCATTATTATTTCTTTTATTTCTTTTATATAGAACTTCATAAGTCGGTAATTCTTTTAACAAATTTACAATTTTATATGACCTCTTCTTTGTATCTTCTTCACTACACTGCCGGAAAGTAAATTTATTTTTATTATTAATAAAATTCAGCGTTTTAACCCTATCGTTAAACCTTCATCTATCACTTCTATTTCGTATGTTTCCAAATTACTTTTCTTCATCTACAATAAAAATTTTCCCATTTCTCTCTTTTCTTCTAATATATTTTCTAATTCTGAATGTCCTAAAATATCCAATTTCATATCCTCATCCTGTAAAAATTTTTCAATCGCCAACATTTCTAAATAATAATCTTCGTCTATCCTTTTCCTATTACTTAAATTTTTCATAAAATTTTCTAAACATCTCCTAACTTTTTCATCAATTCCCAACAGAACATCGCTACCTTTTTCTATTAAAATTATACCTATTAATAAACATCTTAATAAAATCTTAAATTCATTCTCTTTCGTAACTTCAAATTTCGCACTAAATCTTGTCCCATTTTTTCCAATAAAATCACTATCTCTTATCACCCAACTCACCAAATATTCTAATTCCTTTTTCAGATATCTTTATTTTCCCTTTTACGCACGCTATTATCAAATAAACTCCTTTCCTCTTATCTCCTTCTACTGATTCCCTTATACTGTACTTAATATATCAATAAAATTTTGATTTTCTTTTAAAATTTCATCAATCATATCGATTCTTTTATTATAATTCTTATCTCTTTCTTCTTCTATTATATAATTTTTCAAAACTTCGTTTTTCATTCTTATATTTCTCATCGTTTCATCCATCCTTCTTCATTCCTTTTTTTATGAATCCTACTTTCTTCATTTTTATATGTATTAAACATTCCTTTTTTCCATCATCTTTATCTAACTTTTTACCTATATTTCTTTCATCCTTGACATTCGACTAAACGTGGCAAATTTTCTTCTTTCTTTTCTTCTGCATCAAAAATTATCATATGTAGTGCTTCGATCTGTGTACAAATTGATCTGGATTGATCCGGATTAAATCAAAAATCCGGATGAAATCCGCGGTTTGAACCGGATTTCGTCAGATCCATCCGGATTGCCAGTTTTCGGATAACTTAAAATATTTCTGAAACCAATAATCAGGGGGGAGGGGGGTTAAGACCATGATGATGTTACACACCTTTCATTTTTAGACACTTGTAGTTAATATAATTCTAGCCAGAATTGTGTTTTAATTTTACATTTCCTAAAATGAATGATGACATAGGGAGGGGGGGGGGTCAAAAATCCTAAAATTTAAATTACGTCATTTCTGGCCATCCCCTAATCATATGATAACCTATTCTTCTATATTTTTTGCTCTGTGATTTCTTTTTATCTTCTGCAAAAATCACCTTTCTACTTTTATCATTCCATGTTATTAAGCTGTTTCTCAATTTTTTCTCACCTTCATCAAATAGATTCATATGTATATTCTTTTTATCAAAATTTTGGCCTATATAATTTTCTTTAATCTTCTTTTATTATTTTTTATTTATTTATTTATTTTATGTGAAGTTGGCAAGGTTTCCTTTTAAGGTTGAATAAAATATTTTAGTATATTCTACTAATTGTGTGGTCCGTTGTTTTGGTATTGCCAAAAATCCAAAACAAATAATTTTATGATGGTAGATACATTTAAAATATGATAGCTTAAGACCACATTTAAATAACAACTTCATTTTACTTGATTGGGATCGAAAGTTGTGGAGATTATTTTGTATTGCACTTGGTCTTAAAGATATTTATTAATTCATCAAGATTTTCATTGTGGAAATATACTAAGCGATTCTGATCGACACGCTTTTGTAAAGACTTTTCAAGATAGTAATAAAAAAAATATATTGAGTATTACTTATGTAGCTCCAGAAGTTTTAAGAGGAAAGGAATATACACAAGCAAGTGATATTTATGGATTTGGAATTATTGCATATGAAATTTGTACAGGATTGCCTCCTTATTATGACATAGCTCATGATGAATTCTTAGCAATGAAAATTTGTGAAGGGTTGAGGCCAAAATCTAATTATAGGATTCCTCAATTAATTTTTGACATTATTAATTAATGTTGGGATGCAGACCCTTTAAAACGACTTAATGCAGGTGAATTAAGTATATCAATAAATAAATTATATATTAATCATAATGTAGATATTGTGATCAATAAGCCAATTAAAGAAGCAGATGAAATTAATAAAAAGTCATCTTCAACAGTTCAATCTCCATTATCATCTACCAATAATCTCTTATATACAACACATCCTCAGCAGGCAATTTATACGAGTAGGCTTCTAGATTTTGAAAATCTTCCAGAACCAAAAAATGCTGATAATAATGAATATTCATGTAAACATATATGATTTGTTATAATAACAGATAAGTTGCTAACAGCTAATATTTTAGATTCATTAAGAATGGATTTTACTAAACTTGATACAATTAAACATTTACTTTAAATGAAAATATTTAAAATGTAAATAACTATAATAATTTATCCATTTTTTTATTGTGAACTTGGTAGTGAGATCAAGGATGATGTTATAGTGTTATTCCAGGACATTTGATAAAAATTTAGCAAGCTATGCTGGGTAAATTACTAAGAAATTGAGTGGTTTATATTTTAACATTTTTTTTAAGTAGTAAACAAAAAAAAATGGGAAAATATATTAACATTTTATATTAAACATTTTTTTATTCATTTTTTTATATTTATTTTTTTTATAAGAATATGTCTAAATCGAAATAAATAAGCTTTATTTTATTTTGCAAGGATTGTCCTATTAGTTACATTTATTAAAGGCTTTAAATACTAGCCAATAAAGCCATTTAAAGTTAAATAGAAAGAATTCAAGATTTTTCTGTGAAAATAATTGTTGATAAGAAATATAATTCGAATTTCCGTAATGAATTTCACGTTCAGCGTCACACATTTTATTTTATATTCATTTAAAAGGTTAGAATTTACACTTTTTAGGAATCAAAGATTATTCAAATGCAATCGAGCGAGATATCAACGTTTATTTAGCAACCAGTGATTCAATTCATGCGATTTTAGGTAAATTTAAGTTTTTTAATTTTAGCTTTTTTTTATAATAAAAAAATTTATATAACCAATTGGTTCTTATGCATCTACAGATCCATTATTTAACTGTTTACTATTACCAAAATTGTAGATTTTTTAATAAAAATTAAATAGGTTAAACTTTTTACGAGTTTGATTATTACTTTTCCAATATAATATTTTCAAACTATAATGTATCCAAATAAAAATATTTGTCATCGAAATTTAACTCAAACAAAAATTGTTAAAATTTCGTTATAATCACTAATATTTTATGTAAAGAATGTTAATTCACTCTAGAAGTTATATGTATAGTAATTTGCCAAGATAGAATTTGGAAATTTAAAAAATAAATGCAATTTTCCTATTTCCGATCCTTTTACAAAATTGGATCTCATTAACGCGTCATGAATATTACTTTCTGACCTGACTTTTTTTCAATTTTATAAATATGACAACAATTAAGATAACAGTAAAAACGCACTGTTGATGTTTTTATTTTTTCAAAAAATTGTCTATTGAAAGATTTATCAAGTCTTAAAAGTTTTTTACATAAATCAACATATATTAGTATTAGTATTTTATATGAATATTGTAAATCTACATAACTCTTAGTAACTTCACTAATAAATAATTTATGTAAGACTTAATTTAATTTCTCATTTCATTTGAATAAACATAACTGATAGAGAGAACAAATTTTATTTTATCAAATAAAATTAAAGTTTCATAGACAAAATTTATTAATTGATAACTAAAAAGCAGTGGGTATTAATATAAATTTATAAAATCTGAAGATTAATTAAAATACACGGACATGCTACAATTTTGATTATAAGTAAATCAAAAAAGTTTATTCATAATGTTAAAGATTAGGACTGAATATTTAATGAATTATGCAACGAATTATAAGCTATCATCATTTATATCATTTATAACTGAGTTTAAAGAATTTTGATAGAAGATATTTCTACATGTTTTATCCTAAATAACATTAAGTACATTAAGTAATATTCAAACTATATCTTAACATTTTTTATGCGAAATGATAAAGAGTAAAGTTAAGTTGTATATTAATTATAAGACATGACAATAAATAAAAATTGTACATATTATACTATGTGAAAAATTATGTGATAATTAACTTCAAAATATATTGATCTCTTTTTATGCTTTTTATAATTATGTAAAGAATATTTACAAGGAATAATTAATCAACGATTTATATAATGTGGAAAAATCACGATGTACATCAGATGAGGGAAATGTCATCTGGACAAACACCATTTATAAATTATGAACATGAAAATGATATTGTAATGAATATTATTAACGGTATAAGGCCAAAAATTGTGCCAGGAACTCCATTAGAATATAAAAATTTAATGAAAGAATGTTGGAATGCTGGGAAAAAAATGAAAAAAATTTATTTAGATTATCAAAATATGTCAGATTAATTACTCAGATCAGAAATTGATGATTTAGAAATGAATAAAGTAGAAGAAAATTATACGAGTATCAGATTATTTACAAGTAAAATTCACAACTTTGAAAATCTACCTGAACCAAGAAATGCAACAGAAGGTATAAGTGCATAATATTTTATTAACAAATGTATTTATTTTATAATATTTTATTAATGTTGTCTTTTATTATAATAGAAGAACAAGAAGGTGTAACTGTATAAATAATAATTTCTACTATTTTTTTTGGTTACTATAATTAATTTACTTTATTTTACTACTAACAGCGTTTCATAGTAAATTAAATATCAATTATTAAACATCATTATATGATAATTCAACGCTGTAATGTTAATAAATACTTACTACTGTTAGGAATGTTAAAATCACACATTTTAGTTAACAATTTTATTAAATCAAATAAGCAGAATAGTCATCAAAAATAGTTACCATTTTTAGAGGTAATGTATTTTAATTATTGCCAAATCAAGTTTGAATTTTTATATTAAATCAATATCTTAAATTTTAGATAGTAATAAAAAATTATCTAAATTATTTATAAAGTTGAATAAATTCAAATGGTAAGAATAGTAATAAATTACCAACAAATAAAATTCATTATTATATCAATTTCATTTATTTATTAAACGCGACTTCTATTTAAATTTAGACAATGAAAAAGAAATAACTCCAAATGTCGATGGTAGGTGAAAATTTTACATAATAACAAATAATCCTTATACTATTTTAAGTATATTTATTTTCTTATAGATGATTAAGAAATAGTTAATAATCCAAATCTTTATTCAAAAGAACAAGATGAACTGGAAATTCCTGATGGTAAGTTCTTAAATAATTAAGATTTCTTTTTAAAGCAACTTAATAGTACAGTACAGTACAGTTAGTACATTGTACTTAAATTTTAAATACCATATATTTAATAATTTATATATAAAGCTTTAAATGCTAACTCTGTCAATATTGATCCATTCATGATAAAATAACTACTATTAAATTCCACGAATCTAATGAGCTTAATTTCATCAAAATCAAATCATTGGACCATTTAAAACAGGGTATATATGATTAAAAATACCTCTACAATTTATATAAAAACGTACTTGTACTAAAAAAACTCAGTACAATACATTTCCCAACCCTGATTACAAGATTCTTAGTTTGTAATTTAAATAATTATATAATAAAGTAATTAAAATTATTAAATATATAAATTATCAATAATAAATTTATAATAAAAATTTTTAACCATTACAATAATAATTATTATTCAAAAATAATAATATTATGAAAATAAATTTTACATTATTGAATAATAATATATAATATTTTGTTCAATCCAAAAACTATCCGTCAGATGATCTTTATCATTATTTCTTATATATACAAAAAATGACAGATCGAGCATGAGGTTCAGATAATAATCTCTAAAATAGCAACATTTCAATTTTCCATATGATGAACTTAATTCAATTATTAATAAGATTTTTAGAATTTTAATCTAATGTGTTTGGAAAATATACTTAGTGCTTCGATCCGTAGCGGTTTTATCCGGATTTTCATCCGGATTGAATTTCATTAAATTTCGCTGGCACTATGAGTTTGGCCAGAATTAGTATAAATTTTTGGGATAATAATACTTTAATGTTGGTTTAAATTATAGTTTGTTTAAATCTGAAATTCATAATCTTTCTCAGCCATAATCTTCACATGAAAATATTCAAGTTTTCATCCGGATCGAAGCACTAAATATACTATATATTTTTTTTGTTTAAAACATTATAACATTATTTATAGAAAAATTTTAATCAAAATTAATCATTTATGAATGTAAATTTCTGGCTAAATCAGGGATTTTGTAAAGTAAACAAGTTAGCATTCTAAGCTTGATAAAGATAAGTAGAAAAGATCATATCTAAGTAAAGTGATTAATTAATTTTATATTTAATACATTTCAATCAATTTATATAAATATGGTGAATACGGTAATAAAACGAATAGTAAACAATAAAAAGAAAAAAAATTAATATCCACTATTGCAAAATTGGTTTTAATTTAGAATTTGAAATACTTCATATTCTTCCACAGAAAAATATTCAGTAGATTCTCTGATTTGCTTTTCGTAATAATTATTATCACAACGCCCAATGCTCCCAACTAAATAAAGGTTAAAATAACCAAATACCAAACAAATATGACTATAGCAGTATATAGCATATTTTTCATTTTTCACGCGACTTAAAATATGTCTTTTAATATCATCACTCTTAAAAGAAAATATAAAACTATCGTTAGTAGTGCCAAAATTACCATCGTTATTAGATTTCCATTCAATTGGATTATATCCCCCAAGAATTTCAGTACTATCTTTCACTTTAACAATTGTTATAGTATTAGACTGATTATCACAGATTTTATGAAATTTTTCAGCTGTAAATCCATCACGAGATCCACGCAGTAACAAATTGAATTTGTACGCAGTTTTTATCTCATCCGTAATTTTTAATCTATCGATCCATTTCGAGATTAATTCAGCATGTTGAGTTGTAATGATTTTGGAATCAATATTATTTTTCTTTAGCAGTCATACGAGTTTTTGATTGTTTAATTGATTGATTGTTAGAATCCAAAAAATATTTTAATAAATCTTTATATAATTCTTTTGGAAAAACTTTTTTATAAGGTAATATTTCTTTTGAAAATTCATCAGAAGTTAAATTATAGAATCTAATAAACGGAATACAATTATGTAAACTATTTTTCAAAGTATTAAAATCTTCTTTTGAAAAATTTGAAGGATCCGAAGAAAGTTCTGGGTTTTGAGCAAGTCCCCATTTAAGCACATACTTCCATACTTGAATTTCTTCCATTTGAAGATTATCACTTTGAATAATTGTGATCAAAAGTTTTTCTGGAATTGAAGCAAAATTTAAAGATTTGAATATCTTATCTGGCTCTTCGAAGGTTAAATTAGCACAAAAATTTTGAAGTTCCAAGAAAGAATTGTTCTCAAAGCATGTTTGATATATCAAATTAAAATTTTGTTCCATCCAATTTGCCTTAGTTTTAATCAAGAAGGATTGTATATAAGTGATTAATTCTTGAAGACCAAGTTCACTTCCGGCAATCAAGATTTTAATTATATCCAAAGTATCATATTCCTCCAAGGAAATTCTTCCACTATAAATATATCTAAAAAGATAAAAAAGTGTAAATTTAAATATGTTGTTATACAGTATATTCATTTTGTAATTTTAATTTAATTTTAATTATTACCTTAAGATTATTTGAAAAATTTCAGGTAAAATATTTGGTAATTTTATATGAACAAAAGACCCATCATTATTCTTTTTATTGGTTGATAACATTCTTCGTAGATACGTGGAACGATAATGTAAGATACCCATATGAGCACGAAATATCTTTATATAAGGATCATTACCAACTTCAATAGTAACATCATAATATTCTTCATCATTTAAAATTTCAAGTAAATTTTGAAATAATTTTGGTAAAAGATTATTATCATCATAATTTATAAATTTTAAAAAAAAGAAAAGAAATGAGAAAATGATCGACAATTTTGTTGAACGGCTAACTGGTTAAACCTTATATATACTTTAAATTGCTGCTGCAGCTTGTTGATCCGAGACTCCTATCATGACATAAGTGATAATATCGGGAGTAATTGTGATACAGGAATATGGATATTTTTTAGATGGATTTTAATTTTTTTTTTTTTTTTTGATAAATTGTATGAAACAATTTATCATATAACATTCAATTTATGTCGATGCACAATTTTAATACATTCTAATGCTCACAATTCATTCACAAATGTACAATTCATCAAACTTAAATAAGATATGAAATACATAATTTGATAATTTCTTTTTGATAGGATCAATTTACCATTTATTGATAGCGTATTTGATAATTTTTTTAATACTGTATTATCCATTATTATCCATATGATAGTTTTATTTTGATAGCTGAAGACATAACAATACTACATATCTTTAAAACTCTTCATATTTTTGATTTGTTCGGGATCCTAATAATATTATATAAAAAAAAGTATCTGATATTATAATTTTCATCACCACCCTATTATTGAAAATGTTACACCGTACAAATTGTGCGGAAATTAACATTATACAGTTTGAAACAATAGTTAAAATGTTGATACACTAATATTTCCCCCTTTTCTCTCTTCGCTTACAATATGCCATATTCAAAAATATTTTCAGATTTACTTGAATTAACATATGAAGTTATAAAATATTTTATGAATGATTTTTTGACTTTATTCATGTATTTAGTTAACAGATTATGGTGTCGTTTAGCAATTCCATTATTATATGGGAAAATCCATTTTCAATTCCTAAACAAAATTATAATTTATTTACGTAATTTAAGTGGTGATTTAAAAGCAAAATTAAATGAATATAAAAAAAGGAAGGAAAATTGCATGGGTTACCATAAAACTGACTAATACAGTAGAATGTTCCTTCGCTAACGCTCCGGACAATGAATGTTCCTTTTATGAAATTAGAATTGAAATGTGTGATAATTAGTTAAGAGGAAAGTGAAAATTCGCAAAACCTTTTTTTTTTTGTATGACGGTTGCAAATATCGAATAAATTATTTCTTTAATAAATATAAGATTTTTTTTATTAAAATTATTAATGAATAATTATCTAAGACTTTCTTTATTAAATAAAACTAGAAATTTGTAGTACATGGGCCTACTTCGACCTGTGAATTATATAATGTTAAATTGAAAATGCGACCATAAAGTGTATAAAAATATAATTTATTACTTTTATGATTTTACAGTATAACGCATACATAATGATATTATCTATTTTCTGTTTAATTTATAAAACCTTTATTTAAAAAATTACAATCATAATAAATATATTCAAATAAAATACATACTGTATACTGTAGTGATAAAAAATAAATAGTAAATAAATAATAGATACAAATAAAGAAATTTATATTCTGAATATTTATAAATTTTCTCTCTTACTTTCTACATGTTTAATTTTACCAATAATAATTAATAATTTACTTTAATAATTCATTCTTATAGATAAAAAAAACTAAAGAAAAGAAAGTTATTATAAATCAGTACCTAGGTTGAGATTTGTGAAATCTATTGCTTCTATGGATTCTAGAAAATAAAAAAAAAGAGTTGTACATTAAAATTATTTCAAGAACACTTTATAAAATAAGCTAATTCATTGCTAATTACCTGAATATCCGCCTATTGAATTATCATCATCTTTGTTATCAACAGCATTTTTTGGTTCTGGAAGATTTTTAAAGTCTAAAATTCTACTCGTGTAAACTGCTTGAGGATTTGTAGTATATGAAAGAGTGGTACCATTATATGGTAATGATGTAGAAGTAAACTTCTCATTAATTTTATCTGCTTCTTCAGCTTGCTTTTTGGCTTCATTATCATTAATAAAATCATCTTCTAAATCACCTAATAAATCATGTAATTCTTCTGCTTTAGGACGTTTTAAAGGATCAGCATCCCAACATTGTTTAATTATGTCCAAAATTAGTTGAGGAATTTTATAATTAGATTTCGGCCTAAGCCCTTGACAAATGCTAATAGCTAAGATTTTATCATGAGCAATATCATGATAAGGAGGAAGTCCTGTACAGACTTCATATGCAATAATTCCAAATGCATAAATGTCACTTTCTTGAGTATATTCTTTTCCTCTTAAAACTTCAGGCGCTACATAAGGTAATACTCCATATACTTGTTTACACTCATCTTGAAAAGATTTTACATTTGCTGGTCGACATAATCCTAAATCAGTAATATAAGTATACTAACTATCTTTTAACATATTACCACAATGAAAATCACGATGAACTAATCCATTTTTATGAATAGAATAGAGGCCTTTTGCAATCCTTTCTAAAGTATCTAACTTATCTTTCCACATTATTGAATTAAATCTATCATTTAAATATTGTCTTAAACTACCATCTTTTGCATATTGCATTACCATCATAAAATTATTAGACACTGGATCTTTAGTAATGCCAAAACATCGAGCTACGGGATATGAATTAATCACAGTATATGATTCAATCTAAAAAAAAATTCATAATAATAATAAATAATAGTAAGTTAAACATTTATAATTGAACAGAAGCTTGAAAATTTTATACAAATAAGTAACTTACTTCTTTTAAAAGTTCGGATGTAATATCCTGAGAATTATTTAAACATTTTAAAACAACCGGAAAATTTTTATAATCAATATCCCAATATTTGCTTCTCTTCCATTGATTATCTTCAGAATTCCAACATCTAATATAACCATCTTTCCAAATTGCTTTATAAATAGTTCCAAATCCTCCTCTGGCCAAATATTCAATATTTTCAAATCTATCATACTCAATCCACTCTAAAATTTCAGTTACTGCTTTAGCATTAAGTTGTGTTTTTTGAATGAGCTTATCAATTTCATTATTTCCACTGGTCCAATTTTTGAAATTTTGTTGAAAATGTTTCGAATTACATGGTTTACACCAAATCACGTCAGTATTAAGCTGCTTACAATCTTTGCATAAACCATTCTCTTTATAACGTTCTTTTAATTCTTCATTTAATATTAGCTTATCAATTAGCAAACTTTGTTCATCTGTTAAATCCCAATGTTTAAAATCTTTTATTTGCTCAAATACATCAACACTAAGCTTAAATTCTTCCATGACAGTTTTATGTTTTACAGAGTAAAAGGCTTTTTTTTTTAAAAAAAAAAAAATCCTCAGCCTTATAAAACGTATTACAGTTGTACAGCAGCGATCGACAAATCTTATTTTAATTTGGGTCAAACAAGTAGTTTGTGATAAATCAGCTGATGATCTGGTGATCAACAAAAGTCAACGAATAAATTTTAAGGAATTAGATTCTGACAGAACACAGAAATTAAATAAAATATTCTGTAATACAAAATTTCACAAAAAAAAAAAATAATTTATCTTTCATCTTGACCAAAGTTAATACTTTATTAGTGTCATTTGTTGTTACCATTATATTGACAGATTACTGTTCTTAGACTTGAAGAAACTACTAATAACAACCCTATAAAAAATTTTCTGGGAAAATTCCGATAAATGAACCGAAAAAGAGGGGAAAAAAAAGGAAAAGAAAAAGGAAAAAGGTTCGAAAAAGAAAAGAGAAAACTTAAAAAAAAAGAAAGAACTGAAAGTAAAAGATCGATTCAAAGAAAAAAAAAGAAAATTAAAAAAAAGGGAACTGAAAGAATTCAATTCGGTTCGAATGATTAAAATTTCATTAACTGGAATTGGATTAGATATAGCAATAGACTTGCTGATCAAGCGGGTCTTAGCTATAAAGAATACAGATCAGCAATTCAAAATTAATTTATACAGGTTAATCTAAACGTAACGGTTAATTTTAGTATATTATAGATTTTTTGTCAGAAGTCACATGATCAACATACAGTTACGAAAGATTTTTTTTCAAATAATCAAAACAATTAAATAAAACAAATTATTAAAATGATCAACATACAATTACGAAAGATAATTTGAATTTCGTAACATTGAAAAGTGTGATATTCTTGCGTCTCGTATTTATCATATCATAATTAACTGACAATAACCAATCTTCATTTCCGATTGATTAAAATTTTAACTGATTAATACTAACAGAACAATATAATTTTCTTATTAAATGTATTTTATTTGCAGTCATTTCTGATCTCTTAGTCACCACGACTAACCATTTCTATAATAATAATTTTTTTTATTGACCGAAACTTTTTTAGTCTTTTTTATTAATTCTTTAACCCTCTTCTTATTATTATTCTTTCTTTCGGTTAAACCAAAATTTTTTCTCATTCCTTTTTTCTTTTTAATTAAAATTTTTGAAATAAAAATAAAAAAAATCATTAACTATGATGTTATTTTTTAACTCAAAAAATTTTGTTTATTTTTTTTGGATTGTGTCAAGTACTATAATCGGATTAGGACTATGTCCTACGGCTTTTTGATGTTTAGTAAGATTTTTCTAGTCGATAAATTTGTGTGAAAATTTTTTTTTAGTATAATTTAATATGGATATATAACAATATTAATAATTTTGTAATTAAATCTATAATAAATTTTTTGATAAATATATATAAATAAAAAATTTGTCTGACATTTGGATTAAGTCTCCATAACTTGAAATCCCATGCCATATAATTATATGGTCAAGAATTATTCAATCCATATGAACTAATCCAATTTCAGTTAATGAAATTTTACCTGAATTTTTTTTGATTATTAATTTTTTTATCCAATTTTTTTTTTTTAAAAAAAAAAACGTCTTTTAAATCTTTCATTTTTTTTTAAACTGAGATTTTTTTTTTATTAAATAATCCTATTGTTTCAGTCTTTTAAGACTTATTTTTTTTTTGGGCCAAAATATTGTCCTTTATTTTCAGAGTACTTATTTTTTTTTCGAATTCCCTTTTTTTGGAAATTTCCCTTTTTTAAACTGATTTCTTTCTTTATCCTTTCTTTCCCCCAAATTTTTTTTTATTTTTTTTTCTTTTTCCTTCAATTTTTTATTATTATTATATTATAATATTAAATATATTTACAAAATTATTATTTTTTAAAAAAAATCAATATAATATATAGGAAAATTGACCGACAGATAATTAAGATTTTTTCAATTAAATTAAACGCTGATAAATAGTTAGATTTTCAAATTCATAAAATTAAAAAAATTGATATTTTTTACAATATTTTATAATTAATTAATTGAAGAAATTGTTAATTTAATAATAGATTATTATAACCAAATCCATATCCGAAATTCTCTAAATAATCACCAGATTTTTGAATAAAGATTTTAATTCAAATGATTTAGCTAAATTAATAAGAATAATAATAAATGAAATGAACAGATTCTAATACATTTAATTGTTCAAATATTTCCCTAAGTTGGTTATAAGTTTAAGAATGACGTAATATAAAATAAATTATAAAATTTATAATCAAATAATAAAAATATTTGTAGTATTTTTATAATATTAAAGTTTTTTTTGAAAATTACATTCTACACTCAAACATCAAATCATACATTATTATAAATATAATTTATATCATTAATACATATCATTTTGTTATTTTTTGTTAAAAATTATTACCATATTAAATATTTAGTAATTATAAACAAAAAAAATGCTTTAATTTACTTTGTATTACATTATAATACTAAATTTTTCTATTTAAACAAACTCATTGGTCCCAATGCGAAGCAACATGTGCCTGCTAGTAAATAAAAATAAATACAATTCATACTGCTTTAGAATTTTTTTTTTTTTTTAAGAAAAAAAATATGTCATCAGCAGTATCTGTATTATGTCAAGTCAAATCCAATGGTGGATTTATCAATGGTTTGGCAAACTATATGATCTCACTAAAAATATTCATTTTATAAATACAAAATTTGACTTTTCTTAATACAATGTATAGTTATTTATTAGTATTATTCATTTCAAATTATTGCCTCACATTAAACAGTTAGAAACGCCTTGTCAGAGACTAAGGCAACTTGTTGGATTAATACATTTTTTAATCTAACAATTTTAACACGATTCTAATTATCATAATTTTTAATACACGTTGTTGCTTATAATGATATTGATTGACTGTACTGTATTTTTAAAATTTCAATAAAGCAATAATATTTTGGATGATCGACAAAGCTTTTTTTTCGTGAAACAAGTATTTTGTTTGTGATTTTTGTGATCATCAGCTGACTTCTTGAACACTATTGTTTTGACGTAAATCGCTGCTGTGCAACTGTAATACGTTTTAAAAAGCGCCTTTTTTTTTTAAAAAAAAAATAAATCTTTTTTACTCTGTCTAGACATAAAATTGAAATCACATTTATTAATCCAATATGGAAGAATTTATGCTTACCGATGATGTACTTGAGCAAATAAAAGATTTTGACCGTTGGCACCTAACTGAAGAACAAAATTTGTTAATTAATGAGTTAATACTAAATGAAGAATTAAAAGAACATTATAAAAAAAATGGTTTATGCAAGGAATGTAAGCAGCCTAAAACTGATTATACTTGGTGTAATTTATGTAATGCTAAGAATTTTCAACAAAATTTCAAAAATTGGACTAGTGGAAATCATGAAGTTGATAAGGTTATTCAAAAAACACAACTTAAAGCTAAAAATTATTATCACGTTTTAGAATGGATTGAATATGATAGATTTGAAAATATTGAATACTTGACAAAAGGAGGATTTGGAACTATTTATAAAGCAATTTGGAAAGATGGATGGATAAAAAGTTGGGATTTTGAGAATAATAAATGGACAAGAAGTAAAGCTTTTTGTAGGGGTTATGAGAATTTTCCAGTTGTTTTAAAATGTTTACATAATTCTCAAGATATTACATCCGATTTTTTAAGAGAAGTAAGTTACTTATTTGTGTATAATTCAAGATATTGTCCTATTATAAATGTTAAACTATCTATTAATTATTATTATTATGGATTCTGTTTTAGATTGAAACACATATGTTTTTTACAGAACATACAATTAATATAATACGTTGTTATGGCATTACTAAAGATCCAGAATCTAGAAATTTTATGATAGTAATGGGATATGCAAAAGATGGTAGTTTAAGACAATATTTAAATAATAGTTTTAATTCAATAAGATGGAATGAAAAGTTGGATATTTTACAAGAAATTGCACAAGGCCTCGCTTATATTCATCAAAATGGGTTAATTCATCGTGATTTTCATTGTGGTAATATATTAAAAGACAGCGAATTTACTTTTATTACTGATTTAGGATTATGTCGACCAGCAAATGTTAAATCATCTCAAAATGAATGTAAAGTACTACATGGAGTATTACCCTATGTAGCACCAGAAGTTTTAAGAGGAAAAGTATACACTCAAGAAAGTGATATTTATGGTTTTGGAATTATTGCATATGAAATCTGTACAGGGCTTCCTTCTTACCATGATATTACTCATGATAAATTCTTAGCTATTAGCATTTGCCAAGGACTTAGGCCAAAATCAAATTATAAAATTCCTCAATTAATTTTAAACATACCGTATTTTGCGGTATATAAGCACCCCATTTTTGCACTTGATGCCGGCCAAGATCCTCATAATTTTGGCCAAAATCGCCATAATTCTGGCCAGGGGTGCTTACTTTCGGGGGGTGCTTACTTACCGCAAAATACGGTAATTAAACAATGTTGGGATGCTGATCCTTTAAAACGACCTAAAGCAAATGAATTACATAACAAGTTATACAAGATATTTGATGAATTAGTATATAATGATAATGAAAATGAGATCGATAAGCAAGTTGAAGAAACATATAAAATTAATGAGAAGTTAACTTCTTCTTCATTATTATATACTGGACCTACTCTTTCATATACTACAAATCCTCAAGCAGTTTACACGAGTAGGCTTTTAGATTTTAAAAATCTTCCAGAACCAAAAAATGCTATTGATTACAAGGATGATGATTCATTTGTAGAATATTCAGGTAATTAATTTCCTAATTTACTTTACAAAAGCATTTTTTAAATATTTTATTTGATGCATATAATTATTTTTATTTTATATTATAGAATCAATAGAAGCAATAGATTTTACTAAACTAGACCTAGGTACTTATTTCAGTTTATATGGTTTAATNATGCATATAATTATTTTTATTTTATATTATAGAATCAATAGAAGCAATAGATTTTACTAAACTAGACCTAGGTACTTATTTCAGTTTATATGGTTTAATTTATTAATAATATTATTTAATAATTTATTTTTCACTTATAGATAAAAGCAACTGAATAAAAGAAAGGAAGGCATAAATTTCTTTATTATTTACTATTTATTTTCTTCAACATTACTACAGATATGATATTTTATTGAAATGTATTTTTTATGAATGAATTGTAATATGTTATAAAATTGCAACAAAGTAAAAGTTACATTGTATTTTGTGTTAATCTTATGCCAAGTAAATAAAAATTTTCATTTCTCATGCATATAAATGTTACGAAAAAGAAAAAAATTTTATTTTTTAGTCGTGTGACACCGGCCGGGTGTAAAATATCACTTATTGTTTGAATTATTAATACTATTACATATTGTTATTAAATTATTAATTTATATATTAATCTTTTTTTGCTTTTTTTCGTTTACTAGATTGAGTATAAAGAAAGAAAAACTATAAATTTTTATTAAAAAATCTATAAAATTTTTGTTAAAAAAAAAAAAAAAGAAATATAAAGTTTACATTTTGTCCAATCGTAATTTAAGGGGTAAAAAAAAAATTATAATTTTTTTTTGCCCGGGTCGCCGGGTGGAAAAATTTATTTTCACCGGCTAAATTTTTAAAATAATTTTTTTTTTCCGGACGGCCGGGTCAGATTTGAGAATTATTTTTCATGAGAAACAAAAATTTTCTTTACTTGGCCTAATATTGTAAATTATCCAACTCAAAGGGAGTTGTCAAAACCCTATTATGACCTTGGCCCAGATTTTTAGTTCGGGTTGGATCGGGTACCCGATCCGAGCTGATCCAATTTGGAGTTCTAAATGAATATAAATTAGATATTTAGCGATTGAACATGGTGATTAGTAAACTATTGTAAAGAACAATATGAATATAGAAAATTCGTTTAACGTGTTCGAGTTGGAACTTGTAGCAATTGTAACAGTGGTAATTATAATTCCTGTTTATAGTTGATTTAAAATTTCAGGTCTATACTAGTTTCAATTAACAATTAATATATAAATTTAATAAAAATTACCTGTTCCATTTTCTGATTATTGTTATTGTATAGCACATTAAATTATTCATGAAAAAGGTACAGTATAAAATAGCTATATAAGAGATACTGTACATATGAATCAAAATAATTTTATAACTATTTTGAAAATAAAACAATTAAAATTTTTTTATTTAAAAAGACATCAAAAAAAAAAGAATTCTTTTACTTAGAAGATAGAGACTTAATTTATTCTTTTTTTTTCATTTTTAGAAGCTGCGGTGCTACGGTAAATACCGATTTTTATTTTTATCTCTATAACAAAAAATTTGTAGAAGTCTCTATATAAATAATTTTTGAATTGTGTAATACGAAAACCCACGCCTGATCTATTCTGTATTTATTATGGTTAGAATAATTTTTTTATAATCTTATTTCTTTATTTTTCAAATTTTTTTTTCGGTGTTTTTTTTCAAAACCGATTTTTTTTTAAAAAAAATGAAAATAGATTTTTTATTATTGTTTATTATTTTTATTTTTTTAATCTCTGTCGAGTCATATTTAGATTACAATGAAAACAAAGGTAATAAAATAAATTAATGTTAAAATTTATAGTGCGACCANTGACCCGCAAAACAAAATAAATTAAAATTTAGAACGACCTCTATGGATGTCGATCATTTGACCCGTACATCCATTTTACTAATAGCTAGTCTTACAATGTGCTCAGAAACATCGCCAGGTTCTGTTGGTAAACTAAAGGGAAAACATGGTATTAGTAATAATCTTACTTTCTATAGATAAATAAGTAGACATTTAAATTGTTAGGTGAAATTAGAAATTTAATAACAAAGTATTGTACTGTAATATTTACGAGACTGTATAGTCTTCTTTTCTTTTTATCTAATTCTTTTAGAAAGTCTAATTTGGGTTTCTATGATAATTCTTGAGTATTGAATGAAACAGAAACATCAAGATAAAAAGCCTTTCCACCTAAATTATTATCACCCAAAGTATACAATTTATTATCAATAGGTGTGGCAGTATGACGTAATACACTTGACTTAAAGGGCATCATTTGACTATTTACTCCAACTAATATTTAAAGTAGTAGAATACTATATGAATATTTGAAATGACATCGCAAGAATAAAGATCACATGCTTGAAAAATGACGAGTCTCATTGCTGAAATTAATGTTGATCAGCACTATAATTCCGGCCTACATCATATCTTTTTTTTTCAACTAACCAAAATTGACTGAATATGATCAAATGACCCGAACATGTGACAAATGTCACCAGAGGGAATTATTTTGATTACAGTAATTGGTTAGAAATTTAGAATATAGTTCTATTCGATGTAATCAGATTATTTGTAATAGTTATTTCACGGAGAACTGTGGATATCAGGATATCAATGATTTTCACAGCTGCGCCGTGAAAATCATGATATTCTAGTGACCGTGAAATAACTGATTTATCCCACGGCGTTTGTACCATATTAAAAGCCCTTTAATTTACTTATTTTGACTAATAATGATAGACTTTTTATTCCAATATTGACAGACTTTTTACCATCTTTTTAAATAAACACCACCTGTGATAATATCAAGAAAAGGAATTCACAAATTTTAACTATGAACCGTGGGATAATTAAAATTACACCATGATTAATAAATTGATCAATGAGCTATTTATACATATAGTTTTATTTATTTTAGTGTATAAGCATATAAACAGGAATTGAGAGACTTAGGTTTGGGCAATAAAGTGGGACGAAATGTGGCTTTGGGAACAATTTGGTTTATTGACAACTTGGCCGGAAGACAATTCGCATTTCGGATTGACCAAAGGACAAGTTGGACTTTGGACAAATTGTTCCTAATTTTGAGAAAGGATATAAAGGATAGGTGGAGAAATGCTAGAAAGGTAGGATCTTAGTTTATTTTCGAGTAGTTAGTATTAACATCTGTAGAGGAATATTCCCATTACTACCTTCCGATCTACATAAATTCGGGTGGTAACATTACGTCATTACGCACGATTGGCGCAAATTGTGTGACAATATCGGAAATCGCTATCAATAATAGCTAAATACGATATACAATTAACACAAATACTTGTGCCCCTTTTTTTTCTCATCGTTTTAAAAAATGTCTTGTTCAAAAATATTTTCGGGAGATTCACCCGAATTAACATATGAAGTTATAAAAAATTTTCAGAATGATTTCTCAACTTTACATTCATGCATTTTAGTTAACAGATTATGGTGTCGTTTAACAATTCCATTATTATGGGAAAATCCATTTTCAATTTCTACCGGAAATTATTCCTTTATTGGAATTTACTTACATAATTTAAATGATGATTTAAAAGGATATGAAATTGTTGAATTAATACCTTTGAATACACTTTTCAATTACTCAAATTTTATAAAATATTTGAATATACGAGAATTTTTTTCTTCTGTTGATAAATGGGTTGCAATTTTTAAAAATTCAAACCCTAGTAAATATAATACTGTTTTCATAAAATTAGTTCATAAATTACTATTTAAAATATTTATTGAAAATGAAATAAATTTATATACTCTTGAAATTGAGATCTTTACTTATTCAAATGAATATCTTAATAATATTTTTGAATTAATTTTACAAAATACAAATTTTATTCATAATATTAAAAATTTAAAACTTTTTATTTATATTTCTCATTTTTCTGAAAATAATGAAAATATGTTAGTTAAAAATCATTTATCAAAAATAATTAATTTACATCAAAATCTTAAAAAAATTTTATTAAGTTATGATAATATTCCTTTATATCAATCATTATTATTATCAAAAGATTATAATTGTTCAAATACTTTAAATACTTTAGTATTATATAAAATTAATTTTAATGGTATATTCAATCTAAATAAGATATTTGAACAATTAAATGTTTTAGAATCTGTTCATATTATTTATTGTTTTCCTATAAATATTGGTGTTATTCAACAAATTATTAATTTATCTAAACCATTTAAATTAAAATCTTTATTAATGGATTGGACTTCACAAATTGATGAATCATTTCAATCATTATTACAAAAATCTGGTGATTATTTAGAAAAATTTAATTTTGAATTTGAATATAATAGGGAATTAATATTTAAACAACAAATATTTGAATCAATTATAAAATATTGTAAAAATATCAAATCACTTGATTTACATGAAAATAATAATCAAATTTTTTATCAAATATTCAAATTAATTGAAAATATTAAACATAAGCTTAATTATCTTTCTATCAGAGTAACATCATATGTTAATAATAATAAGTGTAGTTCAATTATATTACAAAATTTAGGTCAAATTCTTCCTTCTAATTTAGAATACTTACATTTGAATCTTTATAAAATCAAAGCAAGTGATTTTGAAATATTTCTAAAAAATTCTCAAGGTACTTTTATTAAGAAATTATTGATCCGAAATAGTGAAAGTCAAGATATTTTACCCCCTATAAAAGAGTATATTATGAAAAAGAAAAGGGTTAAGTATTTAGCTATTGTGAATTCTTCCCTTGAAATGATATCAGAATATAATTCTAGATATAATGAGAAGGAATTGTTTTCATTACATGATGAAGTGAAGGAATTTAGTTTGTATAATATAAAAGTGCAAAGTTATCTTAGCTTAGTGATTAGATTGAGTGATTTTATAAAGAAAATCAATTGAATATCTATTAGTATATTAGATAGGAATATTCTTTTATATAAAATTTCTTTTATTTCTAATAAATATTTCAACTTATTATTAATATCAAATGATTTTATCCAATTTAGAAATCCAAAATAATTAATGTGAACAGTTACTTAAATCATTTTTATCATGAAAAACTAGTGTTGACCTGCCGTAATGTTGCAACTATTTACAACCTATGTACACACCCGTATTGTAAGCTTGATTTACGGGTTCGTTACCTAGGTCACAACCCATTATTACTTACGGCCAAATAACCTTAATACCAACAACTTATCAATTTTGCGTTCTACTATTTTCCGGAATAAAAAATTGGCTTCGCTTATTATTATAAATTACGAAATAGAATAATTTAATAATATTCATTATTACTAGCTATTATTTATTTTGGTTTCAAATTAAGGAATGCATTAAAAAACGAAATAACAATCGATCTCATTAACTAAGTGATGTTTTGTAAAGTAATTTTTACTCTGACTTTTATATTTGTCTTGTAAAACTTGATTTCATGATTGATATTTGGTGATATAGCAAGTATACACAAATTCGCAAAATTCTTATCTGTTATCGATAGATGCTTCAAAAATTCTTACACTAAATATATATTATTTACGTGACATCTACAATTTTTTCGTAAACTCTGCATTTCCTTCAGCCTGTAAATTCGTCTGCCCATGAAATGATTGACATAATATGAATCAATACTCGTTAATTTTTATTCACATTATACTACTGAATAATACGCAATAGATACATGATTCTTTTATTTGGGCTTTTATAATGAATAGAGCACTAAAAAAAACAGAGGAAAAACGTTAATAAATAAAGAAGTAATGATCTATTTATTTTATTATTTTATATATTTTTTTTTTTTAGAACAAAAAGTTGCATTATTTTGTATACATGATATTCACTTACATAAGTAGTAATTATAAAAAAGCAAAGCATTGCTTTCTCATCATCTTGACTAAACTCGTAATAAAGTGCAGAACAGAACATCTGGGTTGCCCTTCGTGAGCAATTCTGATGACTTGTGATGTTACTTTAAACCCAAAATATCACAAAATATCTATTGTATCTTTTGTAATATAATTATCAGAAATTTTTAAAGTCATTAAAAGAATTATACAATGCAAATATTTGTGATTGATAGAATAAGTTATTGAATTATAAATTGTCTTTTTTTAACACGATTTGAATCCTAAGTATCGTAAATTAAATTGATGAAATGAAGTTTCAAAATGGATATAACTGGTGAAGGGACTTTAGGGTATTTCCGAAGCATCTCAAATTTTCAGATATAATCATAGCAGAAGAGGCCACAAATGAAATGTCTATTAATCAACCAAAAGCCATATTTATAAAAAAAAAATATCGGCTAAAAATTTCAAAAATATTAAAAATATTAGATATTTACAAATATTTACAGATATTAAAAAATATGTTATAGATGAATTATAAATGCCTCTTTTTCTATTACCGTTATATACAATAGTACTGTTAAAGAGTTATTGCATGTTTGTAATATATCTTTCATCAAAAAAGATAGTTAACAGCTGGCTGAGCTTATGATCATCACACGTAATCATCATTTAATAGATTAATAAGGAAATTATTGCCATGAGCCATTGTACAAAATTTTCCCGAACAACATGACCGTTATACGCGTTATACAAAAAAATAATATATAAATAGAGTACCTCTCTTTCCTAACTCTTTTAGAGGTCCTTATCTCTACTTTTTTCATTTTTTCTAACTATTTTAGAGGTTATTATCTCTACTAAGAGTTCCCTTTTGACTGTAAGGGTTTAAAACGATTAAAGGTATAGGTTAGCTTTCCCTTTTTGACTGTAAGGGTAGGGTTTGAAACGGTCGCGCCCAATAGGGTCCAGGTTACCTTTGAGTTGCACCCGTTGTAAGGTCTACTGGCTTTAGAGAAGGAGTTGGTTATGTATCTTCCTTACCGGTCAAAGGCCTTGGTAAAACTTTTTTTATTTTCAGGATTTTTTTCTCTTTGAGATATATATACAAAGTGAAAGAAAAAGTCACTACTGCTTGTGGATAACAATCTCTCTCGGTCTTATGGAACACTGAAAAGAACATATACTACACATGTACTGTCTCTCTTACACATATAGAACACTGAAAAGAACATATACTACACTTTGAGTAGTTGTACTTATAAATTAGTTGCAGTACACTACTATATTTTTTTGGGTCGCAAATGGTACTGACGTCCTCGTCGTGCGGCCTGGGTGCTATTTTTTTTTAAAATAGCAGCAGACAAGTACCAAAATATTCATGTAAAAATTCCATTTGCATGGAAATACGTCATGGAAATAAAATTTACTTATGTATGCGAATGTTTTGCTTTATTGTTTGATAAATTTTTCCATAAACTTTTGGAACAAAATTTTTCGTGATCGCTGGGCGTTTATTTAACAATAAAAACATTTCAACCCTTTCTAATATCGATTCCTAACAACATAGACAACAGTTTACTATTAAAATATAGATAGTTTTACATTTTTATTCCTTACTCCTTAGTTTGAAACAACTAGCGTACCTTGCGGCCTATACACCACGGTGCCTCTCCTCCTCCTGTCTAATGAATACACAAAGCCTTACGTGTACTATGACCGAAACAGACACTCCCTACTCACGCTATACTTCGTCTCTATAAACCTTACGTAAGATATAGGATTTATGAACGAGGTGTTATTAATTTATTTATTATTTAACATAATTTGAAAATTTTATTTTATTTTTATTAATCCATCTTATTTTGTTGAATGTAAATTACATCACGTTATAAATTAATTTATATTGACACTGGGGGCATTAAACTTTATGGAATAACTTAAGACCCAGAAACAAAAAAAATTATCACAAACATGGATGTGGCACTTGAGTCAATTATACCATCCCGATCAAAAAATTTCGAAAAGAAGATCATCGTCATATTTATGGTAATTTGGACCACTCCGAAAAATTACCAATACAATATCGTCGTTTATGCTAAATATATAGGTTACATCACAAACCACCATGATGAATGGAAATCAGGGTAAGCTGATCGTAATACTTAAAGAATTGGACGCGTCGTCAAAAGAAGAAAAACAGGAAGAAATTACCTTGCCATCATTGCCGCCTGGCACCAAAGGTGACCTCGTCACTATTATCGTGTACGTCAACGCTACAATTGTAGCAATTACTCGATCTTTACGCTCGCACGGCTTGTCATTTAGTAACAGACCCGAACATGGTTATTACTCCTATTCTTACAGAAAATAATATAATACACCATTCTATACCTACAGTACGTAGATGAAAGAAAAATACGGGCTTCTTTTTTGAACTAATCATTTATTTAGATAATTGTTTAGTTTTTCTTTGATGCGAGCCTGACTTGTTCATCAGTTTCTTTTAGTACCACTTTTCGATTCGTGTATAAAGTTTCTTTGTGGTCATTAATGATACTGTTTTCACTTTGGGATATAAAATAAAATAAAGAACATTAAAAAAAAGTTCATGATATGAACATATGTTTTTATTTGACGATACTATCAAAAAAATTATTGTAAATACTAAATTCAATAATAAAGAATTCATTATATTATAATCTGCGAAATCTAACATCGCCGCCACATTAAAATTTGAAAGTTTAATATAGATTAGATGATAAATATAAATCAGGTCTCTATACATATGGGCTAATCCGACTCACCAACCAAATGTCACATGAAAATAAGTGTGACAATATCGAACCAATCGAATTTAGTGTAACAAACGAAAAAAAAATCAAAAAAATATTTCGAACGCTTCTTTTATGTAATAAAACCATTATAAAATACCGTCAAAAATAAAGAATCACCCTTAAAAATATGCTGTTTATTATATAAATACATATAATATACAATAATTACAATAATTATTAAACAATAATGCCTAAAAAATAAAAATAAACCTATTAATATATTTAAAAAAAGTTTTACAGCGTAAACTGCTGTTTAAAATGCCTTAATAAACGTAATAATGTGCAAATAATGTTATAAAAATAGAGCACATTATACTAACTTTAACATGTCACATATTTACAACATCCAATAGGAAAACGATTCCCCGACGATTCCCCACCATATTGTTTTTTTGTAGAAAGCTTATCTAAGTTTAATTATTTGCAGATCATCACAAATTTCATATATATATTCCTCAATTATATCACCTGATCATTAATTAATGAAATGAGTCATATGATACTTTATGAACTGCGCTAAAAGAGATCAGCAGGTCGGAATTAACGGAAATTAACGGAATTATTTCTTAAAAAAGGAAAGATTCGCATGTTGGTTCTATTGTTGTCTTTTTATGGAGAATGGATACTAAATATAAATTGTACGACTCTACAACTATAAATTTATTTTCATTTTGAAATGAATGTAAGCAAACTTTTTTCCTTTTTACCAACATGGCATGTTCAAAAGTATTTTCAGGATATTTACCTGAATTAACAAATGAAATTATACAATATTTTAAAAAAGATTTTTCAACACTATATTCATGTATTTTAGTTAATAGATTATTATGTCGTTTAGCGATTCCATTATTATGGGAAGACCCATTTTCAATTCCTAGCCAAAATTATCGTTGTATTGAGATTTATTTACACTTTTTAAATGAAGATAGTAAGGCAAAATTTAATGAATATGGAATTAATAATAATATATTATCTACAGATAAAACATTATTTAATTATCCTAGTTTTATTAAATATTTAAATACACATTATATTTATTATTGTATTAAAAAGTGGGTTATTTATTTAATGAAATATAATCATAAGAGAAAAAGATTAGTAACCTTAATTTATAGATCATTATTCGAAGTATTTGTTGAAAATGAAGGAAATTTACATTCTTTTGAAACCGTAATATCAGATCAAAATATTTATGACCATAATGCTATGGACTTGATTTTACAAAATCCAAATCTTACTTATAATATTAAAAATTTAAAATTAGGAGGTATTGAAATTACTATTCCATTTTTGGAATTTTTAAATTCTAATTGCAATTCAATTTCATCAATTGGTCTTGATTTTCCTATAGATGATATCAATAAATTTTCATTAATTGAAAAACATTTATCACAAATAATTATTTCACAACATAATCTTAAAAAAATCTCATTTGAATCTGATATCACTTTATTTTTATCATTAAAAACTTCTAATTGTTCAAATACTTTAAATACAATTATATTTTATTCCATCAATTTTAAGAATATAATTAATAATTTACGAGAGGTTTTTGATCAATTGAATGTTTTAGAATCTATTCATATTCTTAAATGTAATTCTTTAAATTCTGATTTTGTTCAACAAATTATTAAGGTTATTAAACCTTTTAAATTAAGATCTTTATTCATGAGTGAAATATTATATGTTGAATCATTCCAATTTCTATTACAAAAATTTGGTAATTGGTTAGAAAATTTTGGATTTGGATTTATGAATGACGATTATAATGGACCGAGACGACAATTATTAAAATTAATTATGAAATATTGTAAAAATATTAGATATTTTGAATCGGGTATACCTGATGATATTAATATTTATCCATTCATCGAAAATAATCATCATAATATTAATTATATTTCTATTAAAGTGAGAATTTATAATTATTCTATTTATAATCAATATAGTTCAACTGTATTACAAAATTTAGGTCAGGTTCTTCCTTCTAAATTAGAATATTTATGTTTAACTCTTTCTTTTATGACAGATGATTTGGAAATATTTTTAAGAAATTCACAAAATACTTTTATTAAGAAATTATTAATTAGATATATGGTGTGGAATGAAGGTAAACATATTTTATCTTATATAAAGGAATTTATTACGGAAAAGAAAAGGGTTAAATATTTGGCTATTTCAGAATTTGGTCCTGGTGTTGATAATGAATTGTTTTCTTCTAAAGATAAATTCAAATTTCATAATGTTGTAGTGCGAAGATACAATGATTTATATATTACTCCATATAATTTTATTACTAATAATTTACAATATTCAATTTAATTATTTTGAAAGTTGTATTATCAATACGTTCTAATTAATAAATCCGGGTTATATAAATCATTATTATAAAGTCACGTGTAATCTAGTTATAAGTGTACTATATATTTACATAACCAATTTGGTTACGGAACGATTTCCCGACATTCTTTTTCCCGATGTAACCTTTTCCCGACATGACATTATCCCGGCGATAAATATCATCCTGAAAGACAAAATCCCGACATGATATTTTCCCGAAATCAAATTACGAAAAATGATTCACAAAAATATTTTATTTAACTGAAATAAAAAATAAAATTGAAATTTTTTGATATAATAAATAAATTAATAGAAAAGTTAAATTTTATGTTTATTATATTTTCTAATTTACTTTTTGTGTAATATTTTCTTAATTTTTTTTTATTAAATAAAAAATGAATTTATTATTCTACAACTATTACATTTTATCACGTAGTTTATTTTAATTGAGACAATTGTTTTTTTTTTTTTGAACACAATTATAATTTCATATATTAAACATATTAAATTAAAATTATTGTGGTTTATTTAATTAATAATACATAATTATACTGTTTCATATTATTATTTTAAAAAGAACCGGACTAAAAAAGAGACTGAAAAAGATTTTAAAATCAACAATCGAATAGCTACAGTAATCGATCTGCTGTGTCAGATTGCAGATTGCAATCATTGTACCATCCTGAATGGCAGAAAATGAAACATGATTAGTTAGCTTTTTTTTTTGTTAATTAGAAAAAAAAAATCTAATTAAAATTTCATTAACCGGAAATGTAAATCTCCATCGGAACGTACACATGACCCGACAGCTGCGCAATTCAAAATTATTTATACAGGTTAAACGTAACGGTTACACATGAATTTTTTAACAATTACTTTCTAAATAGAAGATTATTTTTACCCAGTTTAATTTGTATATATAAAACGATATTTTATTATCAATTTTAAAAAATTTAAAATTTGCGATTTATACAAATGTATTATTGTTAAAAACTTATATACCCAACCAAAGATTCGGAAAATGTCATGTCGGGATTTCGGGATATTTATCGTCAGGATAATGTCATGTCTGGAAAAGATGTTATTCGGGCAAATGTCCATTCGGGATTGTCCTGTCGGGAAATCGTTGTCGGGAGAAGGTTACGTCGGGAAAACGGATGTCGGGAATCGGTGTGGTGACTCTGTGACGTAAATTTTGATCGTCACTCATGTGCAATTGATGCGCCTATCATAGCCGTATTAAATTATTCCATAATTAAAATGTCATTTTACTAAATTAATATCCAACTAAATTTTTACACGTTATAAAATTAATAAATTTATTAATTACAAATAAAAATTACAATTTTATATATCAATTACATTATTTTTTCATTGACTAGTGATTAAATTTGACTATATTATGAGGAAACATTTACTAAATGTTCAGGTCAGGTCAGTTTTAAAATTAGAGTTAAATAATTTTTCTTTTATATAGTTTATCAGAATTTCATTATTTGAATTTTTATTTTATTTTTTATTAGGAATTATTTAACATAATTATTATTATGGAATATTTATGAAAAACCTATTATTTATTTTAAAGAATATTTAAAAATAAATATTTTGATGGTTAAAAAAATATGGAAAATTTAGTATAATCTTTTACGATTATTTGAACTAACAAATAATATAGTTAGGGATAAATTTTACCATATTTAATTTCAATATTATTCAAATAAAATATATGTGTATGAATTGAAAATTCACAACCGGTTATCTTATATTATCCGTAGGGTGATTGGGAAAAAGCTCAATTATAAGGAATCTTGTATTTTTAATTAAAAAAATGAACAATTGAGTATATAGAAAGTGAGTAACGTAAATTGACTAAGTGTAGTTTACAATACTTAATAATAAACTTGTGATACTATAATTACTATACTTATAATTTATTAAATTATTGATTAAAGTTTCATTAAATAATTAAAAAAAAGTAACAAATAATTAAATGAATAACTATATAAATCCTATTGATAACTTAGTAAATTCTAAGAAATGATCGTTATGTTTGTAGCAATTTTAACAGTCATCAGAGGGTTCCAAACGCAAAAACCCACTATTACCTTCAATGATATAGCATGTATTAGTATTAAATGGTCCACGAATTTTTGCATCTATTTCACCAATTGTGGTTGCACGAAGCATGTATTTGTCTTTTGATTTTGTATCAATATCTAACGTTCTACCGTTGTTGCATGGATGGAATTTTTTATCGCCAGCTACATATTTACCATTAAGATCAGTAACCCAAATCTTACATTCTCCGCTCATTTTTTCTTTAACTTTAGCATGATATCCTAGTAATCAATCAAGATTTTAGTATAAAATAATATAATATTTCGCTTAAAGTTCGTATTCCGCATATGCGAACATGTTCAAGATTTCGAAATTTTACCTTCAGCAGCTGGTACAAGAGCCGTAGCAAATAAAATGATAGCGAGCGTTAAATAGATATGAAATTTCATTATGCGTGAAATATTTTGATGTGATTTTCTACAAATTTGTAATTTAATACCAGTTAATTAAAACAATAATAATTAAATCATAATTTTAAATTATAATATTATAATTTAGATACCTGTATGTTTTTTTAATTCTGACAAGTTTTTAAGAAAGTTTAAAATTGTAGTTTTGTTTAATCCTTAAATTTAAGGAAATTCAGGATATATATATACATTTTTTTTATATGTAACTATTTTTAACTATACCTATATATATATACATATATTATTGGAATGAGGGGTAACTATATCGGTCATAGAATGAAATGGGTTACGACCTTTCACCAATCAATGAAAGGCTCTGTGATGATCGTACATTAATTATAACATCAAAAATAAGTTTACCTTTCATTTTTATGCTATTTTTATCCACTTTATAAGCTTTATCTAAATTATTTCTATAAAAGTTTCATTTACCCCATTTTTTTTTCTTATTCCACTTTATTATATCAATAATGTATAATCATGTATTATTAATAAAAATATCGGTCTATGAAAATCTTCACGATAATTTTTATTTATTTGTTTGCATGTGAATAAAATAAAATAAAACAAAAAGAAGATAATTTATAATTTTTATCGCGTGAAATTAATTAACAAAATGATCTAGACCGTCCTATAAAAATTTTATTCGTTATTTCTGTAAAAAATACGTAAAATGAGCCTTTCACGGAAAAAAAAACGGATCGACTTTTTTTACAAGGCCGGATGTGCTTTATTTTGATATAAAATGAATTCATATACGTAAAAACATCGATCTCATTAACAGATCAGCAATTAGCAATGAAAATCTATTTGATCAATTGTTTTACCAACAAATCACCGTAGACATTGTACCGACAATTGTCTCACCGACAAATGTTTCACCGATCAGGGTTAGGATTAGGAATTACAGCTGAATTCATCATAATATACGGTTTACTTCACGCTGAGAGAAACTTGGTAGGATTCTAAAATAAAAACTACACCACTATGCTCGGGCCAGTGCTCCGAATCTAACAATATAGTTTTTTACCTTATTCTGAACTTTACCGAGTTTCACCGAATGTACTGAGTCGTCCCTCAGTATTTGACTAGCTGTCCCGTATATTATGAAATCAGCTGTAAGGTTGGATTAGGATTTCAAAACAGTCGAAGAAATGACTGTCGGTAAAATGATCCCTGTCGGTGAAATGAATGAGCCAGACCCCATTACAGCTGATTTCATAATGTACAGGACACTTAGCAAATTTTAAGGAACTCGGAAATATTCAGTAAAGCTAAATAGTACTCCAAAATTAGCGTATAATTTTTATTTTATATCAAGCTTTACCGAATATTTCCGAGTTCTTTATGTAAAGCGATAATCAAATTATAAGACCGACAAGTATTAGTTATTTACTAGGCTATCCATAAACAAATGGAACATTCGTTGTAAATATCTAATGAAGAAACGCGTATATTCATTAAAAAAAAAAAAAATGGGATATGAAGAGATAAGAAAAATTTTGTTACTGACCGCGTACAAAACAATACAATTTCCTTTTATACAAATTAAATTGTGGCTTCACTTGAAAGCAACATTTCAAATACAAAAAAAAACATTGTGTTATAATAAGTAGTATTTCATTGTCGGTATAATGTTAAGGTTAATAAAATAATTGATAGAGTTGTGAGAGTTGCGAACTCTTTATGACGATCATTTTCTAAATTTTTGACTAACTACCCCAGATGTATTATCGGGGAAAACTAGAGATATTTGACCAACTACCCTGGATGTATCCAGGGTAAACTAGGGATTTTTGACCAACTACCCTGGATGCACCCAGGGTAAACTAAGGATTTTTACCAACTACCCTGAGGGATTAACTACCCGGGATTTTTGATCAATACGGCGCTTCATACCAATTTAGTCAATCTCATGACGTAAGAAAGCGTTTGAAGCCATGAGAGCAAAGTCTTTATTTACGAATAAAGCAATTTATTTATGAACTCTACATATAAAAATTTAACTATTCCGATTCTTAAACATATTTTGATTAATTGATCATGAAGGATTTAACCTAAAACCCAGAACAATTCTTAGAAACGACGAACAAAATTGGAGAAAGTGTTTTTTAGGACATTTTTCGGGCATATTAAGGAAGTGAATGTTTTTGTTTTCTTTATATGGTGTTTATTTTGTGTTTTTTTTGATTTTTTCCTACTTCAAACGGAAATTAAAGCCACGATTTTAAATAATCCATCTTATTGTATATATGCGTAAAATAGCAGATAGTAGGAAATAACGAGTAATTTTCTTGATGAAAAGAAGTTAAAAGATTAAAAACTAATACATTATTGATTGTTTCTGATTCATTAGTCTCCACGTTTATTGTGATTGTTATTGTATGACGTATCCGGAAATCATTAACTCACAATTACTGCCGATCATTTGTTTCAACGAAGTTGTAACTTTTTTGTAGGTCTTCCGACATGTTAAGCGTTTCGATTTGAATTTTTTCAATGGGAAAGGTTATTAACGTTTCTCTTATTTTTTTGTAGTTTCAGTATTCGGACTTACTTCGGCAAGTTTCGCAACGTTCGTTGCAAAACTACAATTGTTTTTTTTTTATTTTCTTTGAGAAACGTTACTAACGTTTCTTTTATTTGTTGTACTCTCTGCCGTTGGACACCGGGTAGGTTTCGAAGTTTCGCTTTGAAACTTTAAATTTTTATATTTACTTTGAGAAACGTCATTAACGTTTTTCTTTTCTTTTGTAGGCTCCGATATTTGGCTTTCTTCTGCCTAGAACTTTACAACACGAACGATGAAAGGTGAATTGATGGGTTTTATTAGGAAGATGGGCGCCTATCTGCGTTTTTATGATACTAGAACGGTAAGTTTCACAACTAACGTGCAAAATTTTGAATTTTTTAATAATAGAAAAATGTTATTAACGTTTCTCTTTTTTAATTTTATAGGCTTTGAATTTTCTACAATAATTATGACAACACATTTTATTATTGAATTTTAGATACAATTAATAGATTTTAATTTTCAAAATTATATTTAACACCGTGGTGCTCAACACCACAGTTATATGATTTATGTATTCTTTATTTGTTACCCTAACTTTTTATTCTATATTATTAATAGTCTAGCACTCTAAAATCACATACTACGGTGTTGAGAACCAGTGGTGTGTTTTAGCAAAGTCGTTAATTTTTATACTGTATTATACAACATTTAAATAATAAAATTGCTTTCGAAAAATATAAAATATTATTATCATACGACCTGACAATAATAGAAAAGTTTATCAATAGTCTATATAAAAGTTTATTTTAAAAAATTTTATTTTAATATGGATAAAGATTATTAAAATTTTTACAAGGAAATACTTTTAATAATCATAATATTACTAACAACAGTAATAAATAATTTACAGTATATAGTCTATCCGATGCTATAAAATTAAATCATATGTAACCGTACGATTATTATCTTGAGGACAAATACTGGAAAGTAGTTTCGTAAGACTAAGAAAATTGGGGATGGAAGAGGAGAGAGAGGGAATGAAAAATGAAGTTATTCGTTGGAAGCAGCTTATTTAAATGAATGAACCTAAGACCGGACAAATAAAATTTTAGATCTTCAAAACATAATTTTTTAATTTTTTTAATTTTTTTTTAAAAAAAAATGTGAGACTGGGTCTTATTTTATACATGTAAAAAATCCAATATGAATTTTTACACAAAAATTTTGTGATTTATATATGAAAAAAATTTCGGTCTATTTATTTTTTTGTTGTGCGGGAGAGTTACAAGAATCTAAAGATTTAATTTTTTCGTTCTGTTTACAAGAAGAAAAAAACATTTATAATAATAATAATAATAATAATAATAAATTTTATTCTATTTCTATAAAATACTTATAATAAAATGAAAAAAAAAAAATAAAAATGATAATAAAATTAAAAGAAAAAAAGGCTATGACTTCCGCGATGGAGTGCTAGTTCGTCGGATTAATTAGATTGATTGTAATTCGTGCGATTTACAGTCCTAACATTTTCCTTATTTTGTGATAAAGAATATTTATATTAAAAAGAATTATCAGATCAAAATATAAACAAATTCATATATTTTTAAAAAATCTTACTTGTGTCGTATGTGGAACTCTTCGCTTAGGCCTTTTTCTTTTTTCCTTCGGATCGTTATTTTTATGATTTCTTGGTGTAGCGTGTTGTTGATTACGATTATCTGAAATTCTACCATTTTTTCCCTCTTTTTCTATATCTTTTCTTCGATTTCTCATTTCAATATCTTCTATTAACTTGTCTACTTGACATATTGCTTCATTGATCCTCTCCCCAGGTGAAATATTTTCATTTTTATCTTTAACATCTCTATTTATTCTAATTTCAATTTGTCGAAGATTATCTTCTGTTGTAATGAGAATGTGTGTACCAGTCCCCTTTTCAATAGGTTTTATTTTACGTCCTCTACGACCAATCAATTTACCAATAACAACATGTTTTGGAATTTCCATAGTGGTCGAAATGATTGAGCGACTGATGGAATTTTGCATTTTTGTGAAGAACTTAAAGATGATATAGGAAATATATTGTTTATATTATTATATATTTTTTTTAATATTATTATTAAAAAAAAATATGAGATGATTTTTTTTTTTTTGAAAAATGCGAATTCAAAGGGGAGTATTTATAATTTAGCAGTTATCGCAAAATTACGAACAAAACACACCGCAAAATTGCAAACAAAACACATCGACAAAAACATTTTATTAACAATAAAACAAACAAAATTTTCATATTATTTTTCTAACAAAAACATTTTCAAATTAACAAGGACAATGGTTTCGATGACGAACCACGAAATAAAATGAAATAAAGCGATTTTTTTAATAACATGTTTATCATGTTTTTATCTTATTCTTTTATTAAAGCATGAAAAGGCATGAAAAGAAAAATCGGAGATTTTCGTGCGTCAAGACTATCACAAAAAAGGGATAGCCGGATACTTTTGCCCGGATCACCGGGTCTTGCGCCACAAATTGCATCATTCAATAACAATTAACAAATGTCTTTGTGTTATTGTTCCGGTTTAGTCACGTGATAGTAACAAAGAACTTTAAAGTAGTGCTTCGACCCGGATGAAAACCGTCATCCGGATTACACAAAAAAAAAATCCGGATTATATCCGGATTGACCCGGATTTTGAATCCGGATCAGATAATCCGGATAGAAACCGGAAACCGGATTGGATTTACAAATGATCGGCAATAATTCTGGCCAGAATTCATAACGCCGGCCAGAATTACAAATTGTGTAACATTAAATTTTCATGCCAGCCGATAAAAAATTTTTTGCCCGGTGGCTAAACTATTTTTCGGTGTCACGTGATGTTAATTTCGGCCAGAATTACAAATTTGGCCAAAATTATCCAAGACCACGAAATTTACATAATTCCAATTTCATTAAATACTTTTCTTTAAAACAATTTCATATTATTTCAGCATTGTCTCAGAATATTGTTTATCATTTCTTTGTAAATTAACTAATTATGAAATTTTAAACAAGATATTTTTATATACAGCTAAAGATTACTATAAATAGATGTGTTGGGTTAGTAAGGCAATTTTTTAAGGATTTGTTTCTTCTTTCAAAAATTAAAGAATCATTTGAATCAAATTATATAACACTAGTTTTAATTTTTAAAAAAAGTTGTTATAATTATATAAATTTATAATATTGAACAATTTTTCATTTAAAACAATAATTATTATTTTATTGTAACAAAAATAATATAAAGTTTTTTTTCTTTTGAACGTTTGAATGTGAAATCTAAAATTATTTGTTATTTGTTAATGTATAAATTTAAATAAACAAATCTGATACAAACTTCAATAAATAAATTATAATTGAAAAATCTTCTTAAACTTACTGTATTAAAAAGTTTAATATAACAAATATAAATTTAATAAATTTTAATAAAAAAATTGGTATTAGGCGCAAAAATAATTAGCCATAATATAATTTAGATATAGGATCAGCAAAATCATTATTAATTAAAAAAAAAAATAATAAAAAATTTCATCCGGATTCCGGGTCAAACCGGATATTTTTCATCCGGTTTATAATCCGGATGAAAACCGTGAAAATCCGGATATCCGAAAAAAAAAAAAATCCGGATCAATCCGGATTGATCCGGATACGGGTCGAGGCACTACTTTAAAGTACTTTTATCTTGGTAAAAAGGAACAAAATCATTATGAAACCTTAACAAAATTTGTTGTTACAGTAAAAAATATTTACAAGTCCTACATTGAGAAACTGTTACAGGACCCCAAGCAATGCACAGTATTTAAACTCGAGCATTACACGACACAACATTTTCATACGAATAAAAGTTATTCATGCAAATATTTGTCCATAATGACGTGTAACACACACTTAATCTTAATGTGGTTTTTGTCATGACTCATGAGTATATAACATACTGTAAATAATATAAATATGACCCAATATCCTTATCTTTTTTTTTTTTTTAAACTTAGGAACTTAGGAGCGGCAAGTATAATTTTTTAATTTCGACCTTCGACTTGGGATACTTTATATTACTATCCGTTTGTTTTTCTTCTTTTTTTTTAGGCGTTTCTCAGGACGTGGAAGTCTACCTTTTCCTTCTCTTCCCTTTTTTCTTTAAGTCTTCTTTTATTTTTCGATTGAGCATGTTTGAATAATTATTCGATAAGTAACTCATCAGATGAAACTAATGTATCTTTACCCGATAGGTCTTCTCTTTTCTTTAGGTCCTCTCTTTATTAGCTAGGTCTTCTCTTACAGTTACCCTTCTTTCCCTTTACCTTATTCCCTCGCTCTTCCTTCCCTTTCCTTTCCTCCCTGGCTCTTTCCCCTTTCCCCTCCTTTCCCCTCCTTTCCTCCCTCGCTCTTTCCATTCCCTTACCTTCCCTTTCCCCCTTTTTTCCTTCCTTTCCTCCCTCGCTCTTTCCCTTCCCTTCCTTTCCCTTCCCTTATTCCCTCGCTCTTCCTTTCCCTTTCCCTTATTCCCTCGCTCTTTCCCTTCCTTTCCTCCCTGTACCTTCCTTTCCCTTTCCCTTATTCCCTCGCTCTTTCCCCTGTCCCTTCCTTTCCCTTTCCCTTATTCCCTCGCTCTTTCNTTTAATTTCGACCTTCGACTTGGGATACTTTATATTACTATCCGTTTGTTTTTCTTCTTTTTTTTTAGGCGTTTCTCAGGACGTGGAAGTCTACCCTTTCCTTCCTTTCCCTTTCCCTTATCCCTCGCTCTCCCCTTTTCCTTTCTTTCCCTTCCATTATTCCCTCGTTCTTTCCCCTTCCCCTTCCTTCCCTTTCTTTTATCCCGTCATTCTTTCCCTTCCTTGCCTCCCTCGCTCTTTCTCCTGTCCCTTCCTTTCCCTTTCCTTTCCCACATCTTTGCCTTTCCTTTCCCATTCCCATATTCCCTCGCTCTTTCCCTTTCCTTCCTTTATTCCCTCATTTTTTCCCTTTCCTCTCTCGCTCTCCCTCTTTCCCTTCCCTTTCCCTTTCCCTCCCTCTTCCCTCCTGATCGATGTTGTTGCACCTCAACGTTGGTGATCAGGTGACAACAAGTTTTTTAAAAACTTGGCTAAGTCAGCAACAAATAGTAACGATTTGTTTACTTTTATTTATATATATAACTATAAGTTAAAATAAAAATTTTTAAAATATTTATTGTAAAGAAGTTTTTTATTTAATAATTCCTATTATTTTGTTATTATTCTATAATGAATACAATGTATTGTTATCAAATGCGTATACGAAAGTTGTTTTTAACTTTAATAAAACATAGATCATTTAAACTTTATACAATTATAATAAATTTTAACATTTGGTTTCAGTTAAGTTGGCATCATTAAACTTGATCATGATCATGGGAGTTGGTACAAAATTATGTTAAATTAGGAACGATATTATTTAAATAATTATTATGCTTTTTAATAATTCAGATATTCATAGTTAACTTTGGGAATGATCATGACATATTACATTGGTTTATTTTATGTATTAATTTTATTACCTTTATTCTTTTAGATGAAGTAATAAGTTTGCGATTTGTTAAATTTGCGATTTGTTTTTGAGATTTTTTTTATTACGGTATATCTATTTCATGTATTATAATACGGTACGAAAAAATTATTTCTTAGAATATTTTTTAAGTAAAATAAAATTTCATCTTTAATACAAAAAATATGTTTACGAAAAGTAAGTAATATTTTATACATGGTTTTGCTATTATTCAAATTCAATTAGCGAAAGAAACGTCTAATTTTATTTTTTCTCAATAACGATAATATTTGGCTTTAACTATACAAATCACAAATAAATTATCTTCAATCCATTTTAATAAATTGCTTTGGAGGCACAACCACGTCACTGGACGGAACTGCTGGAATTACCATGGAAATGGTAGTAATACTATTTTACACGAAATCTCGTAACGATTTAAAGAAAAAAAAAAGGAATCGAAACGAATTAAACTAAAGTTAAGAATTTAATCGGGTCATCAATTTTATCGCTAAGTTCTTGAGAATACAAAGTTTTTATCTATGAAATAATGTTTATTAGATTCTCATCATGTGATTTATCATCAACGTTTCAAATTATTTACTCTTTTATTAATTTTTTTTTTTAAATGTACACAGAATTCCTTTGTCATAAATCATAATGCGATGCTCCGGAGAAAATCTGTGGGCCAAATTCTGCGCAAAGATTTATATGTGATATTATATGGTTATTCGTGAATAATATAAGCGACCAAACCAATTAATGTAATGATAAATTAATGAATGTAAGACGTGTAACAATTATGATATGCCAAATAAAAAATTCTACATCAAAAATGACTATCGTTACGCCACAAAATTAGATTAAATAATTTGTGTTTAAAATTGTATTGTAAGAAATCACTGTTAAAAGAAATACACTTTTTATGAAAAGAAACTAAAAAAATCACAATAGTAGACAAAAGCTTCTAATATTTTATGAAATTCTAGAACAATTACCGACATTGTGTAACAGTAAATAACCCGAATTTGTGAACCTTAATGAAAGGCAAAAAAAAAAATATTTTTTTTTTTTTTTTTTTTTGCCAGAATTCTATAGAAACATTTCTACGCTGATCTAATCCAATTAAGCTATTTCCATGAGGGCGTATAAATTTTTGCTTAGTGTTTCTTTCAACCTTTTCCATTTTTGAATGATTTTCTGGTTACGTAACTAGTCGCACAGTTTTGAAGTTTGCATTTACATTATAAAATTTCCCGATGTAGTAAGAATATTTATTATGATTCCAATTATAAATAAACTATAAATATCGTTAAGTTATTTCCTTCTTATTCTTACCAAAAGTTTGTTGGATATAGAATAACATAATGGAATTTACTCATGAAATTTATTTTGACCCAACGCCAAAATTAAAATCTAGTCCCGTACAGATATTTTTTCTTCCCTTTAATAACGAAAAACTTAATTGCTATAATTGTGGAGATAAATATTCTGACACACTTTCATATAAACAGAAATATTGTAAACAATGTTTATTACGGTATATTAAAAGTAGAGTGGATAATAATGAATATTTTGATGTAAATATTATTACAAATAATACTCCTTGTAATAAACATGAGTCGACAAGAGATATAAATTTTACTACAAGAAATATTCAAGAATGGTGTGAAGTTTGTTCAGAAATTTCATATTTTAAGAATTATTATGTTCAAATTAATACTAAAATACAACATATATTTATGGAAAAGGATTGTAAATTATGTGGAAAATCAATTGATGAAATTTCTTATGGATTTAAAATGTGTTCAAATTGTTACCTAATTCATTCTGGATGGATAAAATCAATTTTTGATACAACTGTTCCTATTCTTTGTTTACCATGGTGGGATGCTTCAAATAAAAGTAAGGCTTGTAATCATAACCTAAAATTTTTAACCGATTGTCAAAAATGGTGTTCAAGTTGCTTTATAGTTTACGTTGGATGTAGACATTGTTTAACAACAAACATAATTTTTGGAATTACAAATCAAACTAAATGTAGAAAATGCAAAAGAGTATCAGATATATGCATTGATTTTATAGATATGTGCGGTGGGAATTCTATTATAGCTGAATATCTTATTTCTATGAAAACAAATAATCAAAGTTATAATAAGATTGCTTGTTATATGAATAAAGGTTTGGATCCTTTAAACGTATATACTTTCATTGAATGTGAACTTAAAGATATTTGTTCAAAAAAAACGATAGAATGGATTCCATATTCTAAAATTGATAATTTAGAAATAATTGCAGAAGGAGGATTAGGTACTATTTATAAAGCAACTTGTTCCAATAATTTTGTTGCTGTAAAAAGATTTTCAAATTCGAAAGATATTAGCAGACACTTTTTAAATGAGGTAATTATTATTATAATATATATATATATACTATACGCTATACGTTATACCTTATTAAATTAAATCATAATTTTAGATAAATTCACTCCATCGATGTTATAATACGGCTTTTATCGTTAAATATTATGGTATTACGCAAGATCCTGATTCTCAGATAAAAGATTATATGTTAATAATGGAATATGCAAGTGATGGAAATTTACATAATTATTTAAGGGAAAACTTTACAAATATTAAATGGACCACAAAATTAGCTATTTTGTGTCAAATTTCAGACGGGTAAATAAATTTATAACTAGATTTATTCACAATTATCTAACATTAATTATTGATGTTGCTTTTTTTATTCTAGACTTAAGACTATTCATAATGAAAATTTTGTTCATCGAAATTTTCATAGTGGAAATATATTATCATTAAAGGGTCATAAGAAATGGGTAATTGGAGATTTAGGATTATCACGACCAGCAAATAATTCATCGTATAATGAAATATATGGAGTAATACCCTATGTCGCACCAGAAATATTTGGAGGTGATTTATTCTCAAAAAATTCGGATGTATACAGTTTCGGTATGATTATGTGGGAATTAACGACAGGTTGTAAACCATTTGTCAACACTGAGCATGATATTAATCTTATTAGCCAAATTATTGTTGGAAAACGACCTGAAATTACATTTGATACTCCTGAATGTTTTGCTAATTTAATGAAAAGTTGTTGGGATTCCGATCCTTTTAAAAGGCCTTCCATAAGAAAAATTAGAGAAACTGTTGATGATTGGTACAAAAAGCGTAATAAAACTGAGAGATTATTTATTGAAGCTGAGGAAAGACGATCAATACTTACACGATCTGGACAGCTTTGTCCTCAATTTATTGAAAAACATCCTGGTGCTATTTATACTAGTAGGTCTTTAAATTCTTTCATTTCTCAACTATTAAATAGACCACAACATGGTATGTATTTTTATTTATATTTTACATTAGTCATTAATATTGTTAGTGATTGTATATTGTAGAAATATCACTATTGTCTCATAACTAATTAGATTTAAATCTTGTAAACTTAGATAAATGGGACTCGTCGGACTGGGACGTCTGAGACGATATGTTTATTATAATTTTATGATGGCGGTACAGAAATTACAAATGTAAGGAAAATAAGGAGAGCGTTTAAATTCAAAAAAGGAATTATAGTTATGTAAGTAAATGGAGGAAAGGAATATTGTATGGGTTACTGCAAATTTGTCTAATATGGTACAGTAAATTGTCATTCACTCTTGCTCTGGACAAATTATATTATTTATTTTGAAAATAGAATTATTCCAACGAAAATAAACAAATTTCCAAAGATAGTTTATAATATGTTTTTTACTGAAAATTATCGAAACATGTTAGGTTAATAAATATGGTTGAACATATTATGGAATAAATATGTTGAAATAAATATCATAATGATAAAACTAAATTATAAAAAGTAAATGTCAAACTATAAATGCAAAATTAAATACCGGCGAAATTTACCATTTTATGATACTTATTGTATTATTAGCAATGTCTTTTATTAATCTATCTAAAGTTTTATATCTTGATGGCACCTGTCGTAACGTTATTTTTTCGATTAATAATGAATATGGAAACACGCGATATGTATGCGCCTGATCAACCATCGTTCCATATGACTTTGCCAAATCTTTTTTATATTTTTAATTTTTTTTACTACTTAAACCCGTTTTTTAAGGCATAAAACTGTTTTAAAATATGCTTTTTAAGATAAATTATTTCTTTCTTTTATTTCTTATTTTTTTTTATTAGTTTTTTTTAAAACCACTTTAACCAATTTTTTTTATTTTCATTTTCATTAGACTTAATTGTATTAATTACCATCATCTCCTTATTAATGAAATTGAGCTTTGGTATTCAGTCCTTTTCATCTAATAGATAGTTGAAATACCCAACTCTTTTCATTTGAAATTTTTTTCCACTTATAATCCACATGGAAATCCACATCTCTGAATAGTTCCCATAGGTCCACAAAATTCGAAGATTAAAATATGTGGATCCATGTAGGATGTATAGGAATGTATGGAGTTTCATATACCTAAAAATTTCATGATGTAGTAATATAGTTATCATGTTCATTGATCTAATTATTGCTGAACATATATATTCATTCAATTTTTTTAATATTTTTAAGAATTTGTTATTTTTTGAATAACAGCATACAAGTTTAAAGGAAATTTCTGATAATATCTTCACTAAACCTCTCTTCAAAATCAACATGTGTTACTGTTTCTTTTCCATCTGCAGTTATATTCTCTATTATTAATTCATTGTTTTTTGATGTTTCTTTTAATATCTTTTCCTCTTCGTCAGGTACGGCAGATTTTTCTTTAATCTTGCCATGAGGTTATTACACGTAACGCATAAAGAATGATTAAATTTTGACAATACCAGTCATATAAAAAGGTATTGATTGCATTATTTATTTCATTAATTTGTGAGGAGATATAAATTTTATTTGTTGTAAACTGAAATTTTGTGTTAAATTTGCACGTGATTTGTGTTTTTTTTAACGGCGAAATTTTCGAGCGATTTTACACCATTCTTGAATGTTTCCTGTACAAAATTTATATTTCTTGTCGAATCATGTTCATTAATTTGTAATAGTATTTACATTAAAATATATGTTATTATCCTATGCACAATAAACTTATATGAATTTTTGGCAAAGTATTATTATTACATTTAAGTTCTTTATTGTTAAAGGGAAGAAACAAAATCAGTACGGGACTAGATCTTAATTTAACGTTGGGTCAAACTTAAATTCCATTAGGGTGGAATTGATGTTGATCGTGTAAGGACTGTAAGGTGGCGAAAAAAAAATGTAGCAAATTTAGAGAAAACACTACTTTTTGTGTTACGTTCTCAAAAGTAGATTAAAGTATCATGTGATTGCCCAAAAAAATATGTTCTGTGATTCTGTGTTACGTTGCATACTTGTGTGATGATTAACATCAACTTCAACCATTTTGAAACGACAATAAAACGAACTTTTGGTAAGAATAGCATTTTTTTTACAAATGATTATTCATGCATCTATATTTTTTCCTGTTACTCACTACATCGTATCAGAAATTTTGCATACGCCAATTTTACGCCATCGATGCAAACTTATGCAAGCTTTACGCCTTTTACGCAAATTTTCGCTGAAAAATATTCTTGATGTAGGAAAACGGAACTTTTCAAGCCACAAATTGTAAAAGGATATGCATGTCAACATGTGACTACAACTAACATGTACAAAGCAAAAAATTTACGTAATTTAGGGAATTATTCAAAAAGGAAATTGTTGAAAGAGCGCTAATAATAATCATGGAGCAATAACTTATTCGGATCATATCTAGAAATGATTCCATAGAATTTTAGTAAAAAATTGGTCTTCACTGCTGATAGGCGTCATGTGTATCATGGTCAAATTCTATGAAGAAATTGTTTAGATAATTTTTTTTTCATATAGTAAATTCTTAGTGTGACATGAATAAAATCATAAATAATTAAAAAATTCTTCTTATCTACAAAACTTTTGAAACTTTTGTAAAATTTCTTATCAAAAAAGTTTCCTGTTAACAATGAACGGCCATACAAATTAGCATCATACCAATACTGTGCAATAACATGATAATGGTTACAAACAATATCAGGAGTGCACGCGGAGTTTTTCACATGTATTGTTTTCTTTCCATCAATAAAAAGTATCAAAAATTTAGTAAAGAATGGCTAAATCTAAATTTGTAGCGTAGCGACTCATTATGTTAAAATTGACGATGTCGACCTAAAATCGGACAAAATTTGGACTAAAAATAAATTTCATATATATATGTTTTTAAGAAACAAAAAAAAAAGAGAAGAAATATTTATTTATTTTTTTTTTTTGTTTTATTATTTTATTTAGCATATATATTTTTTGTTTAATTAAGACTACTCCTGTTTTCTTACTTATATCACTAAAGCATAGCTAGATTACCAAACTGATTTTATTATATCATTTATTATAAATAAATTATTCTATTGATAACTAATGTTGAAATGTTTAACAAATAATGAGTTTTTTTTTTTAGAATTTATGTAAAAATAAGTGTTGTATTAATTAAATATATAAAAAATAGTTACATTTTTTTTTTCTTTTTTTTCATTATTTTTTTTAAAAAAAAAATAAAAATTGAATCTAAAATCAAATCAAATTTTGTTATTATTGGATGTAAAAAAACTAATCTTAACATAATGAATCAATCAATAAAAATATGATATTATGTTAAATTCAGATTTATTAATTTATTAATACTAAAAAAAATACAGTTTTGAAAAAAAAGATTACATATATTTTTAATTATCCTAATCCTTACTAAACTTATAAATTTGGATATTTGTAAATTTTTGGTTGGTAATACTAAGAAAAATACAAAAGGATTAGTATGATGACAAACATATAAACCCTATGAGAAAGTACTATCATGCAAGAGAGCAAGGTGCATAGAGGTACCTCATGCAGTCCAAAAACCACTGAACACTGCCACAATATTCATCATAAAACAACTTTAGAACCTCAGTTTCTCTCAGGCTACAGTTGGTCATTAGCAAAATAATTTTGCCTAGCAAACAGGGCCATGTACACATGAATTCCTTTCTCTTGTAAGAACATAAAATGATACTTACCCAACCCAAAGACCAAAGGAGTGAAGTCCTAAAGAAAAGAGTAAAGTTCTAAAGAAAAGAGTGAAGTCCTAACTCCTAATTAGTAATTTTGGTGTAATATTAAATATATATATGTCTTATGAGTCATATATGTAATAGTTATTCCGTACCATAAGCCCTTTAATATACTTATTTTGACTAATAGTACTTAATTGTGATACAGTTATTGGTTATTTATATAATAAATTACGCGTAAATCAACCAGTTTGCTGAGTTCGTTGATAAAACGTAATCTTGGCTTTAGGACCGATATATGTGTTTTAGACTTGTACTTCGTTGTGTATTAGAGCAATATTAATTATTTTAGTTTCATGTATGAGAGTTTTAAAAAAATTTTTTTTTTATTTTGGAAAAATTGATATAAGTTTAGTTTTTTTTTTGTTTAGAATGTATAGAAACTTTATTCAAAATTATTATCTTTCTTTAGACAATAATGGATAATCAACCATATTTTATTGCAAAATCATTAAGTTGCCTTATGCTTAACTTTATATCAAAATTCTTTCTAATATTAATAAATAATATTTTAATTGTTGGAATTATTCAGAAGTTGGATTATGCTATTCTTTAAACGCCTCTTTTTCTTGATTAGGTGATAAAAAGTTAAGAGTCAAAAGTTAAAATTTAAATTTTATTGTTTTTAAATTTGGAATGAGTAAAAAAAAATATTTAGAAAAATTTTTTTAAAATTTAAAAATTAGTAATACAATAATGTAATAAAATAGGAAATAATTTTTATTAACAAATTTGTATAAAAAAGCTTAATCAATTTATAAGTTATAAATTCCCGATGGCACAGAAAGATTTTGCTTAGTTTCGTAAATCTTGTTTTCTTGTATGCAATATAACGGCCCAATATATTAAGTTAGTAGTAACATGTGACATTTTAATCACGTCCAATTAATCTACTAACCACATTGGTGATGCTAGTGACGGCACTTCCTCGAAGAGGTAAATTATTGCTGCAAATGAAGGACGAGAGTATCTATATCAGAGTTATTTTTGATAAAAAACGGTTCATTTGGATTCAGCTCCGGGCAGCAGGGCTTGCTGAAACTGAACCGTTATCTTCCATGACAATTAAATGGTTTCTTGTATATAAGGTACGTAATTTTTATTTTCGAAAAAATAATTACCATTACGTATTATGTAATATGGTCTCTTCTAATTCATTCATATACTAAATTTGCTAGTATTTCATTAGGTGTATCGTCCCCATATTCCTCCAAGGCTGTCTCATATACAAGAGTACGACAATCTCCAATTGCTCATGTCGAAGCTCGGTCATTTTTTAGTATTCAACGCTGGGTGAATACTTCTTTTTGTTTGCCTGGCAAAAGTCGCCATTGGCTCCTATTTTGCAACCCGGCCTGGCTCGCATTTGGAAATTAACCCAAAGTGCCCAGACTATTATTATATCAATTTATTGTAAAAACAAAAAAATTGGCCAACTCTTTGGCCAATTTAATTTTGGCCGGAATTACGAAAATCCAGGTATCATGTCGGCCCGGACGGGTGAATTTTAAAAGAAAGTTTGTCGGCCCAAACCCAGATCCGAATCCGGGTCAGGGCCGGGTTTCGTTTGCAGGCCTCTTACAAATTGTTCATATTGTAAGAAATTTGCAGTTCGGGATTTGTGTCTAATGATCTGCAGTAATTTTAATTAAAACTGCGACTAAACTAAATATGTTACACAGACATGAATTGTGCGACAACAAAAAATTAATATAAATAAAGAATAATAATAAAATTTGATACACAAATACCCCCTTTTTTTCTTTCTCTTCGCTTACAATGTCATGTTCAAAAATTTTTTCAGGAGATTTACCTGAATTAACATATAAAATTATAAAATATTTCCAAAATGATTTTTCAACTTTACATTCATGTATTTTAGTTAACAGATTATGGTGTCGTTTAGCGATTCCATTATTATGGGAAAATCCATTTTCAATTCCTACAAAAAATTATAAATTTATTGAAACTTACTTGCATAATTTGAATGATGATCTTAAAAAAAAGTTAAGCATGTATAACATTGGTGATAATTTATTTCATTCAAATACATTTTTTAATTATCCTAGTTTTATAAAATATTTGAATATATTTAAAGTTATTATTTCTGTCGAAAAGTGGTTTGAAACTGCTGTCGGAACTTTAAAACCTGAAAATAGATATTTACAATTAAATTCAAATATTTCTGCATCCAATTTTGAAAGATTAATTTATATGTCATTATTTGAAATTTTCATTAAAAATGAAGTAAATTTACATACTCTTGAAATTGAGATCATAAGTAATATTTATAACATGTATTATGATATTATTCTTGAATTAATTTTACAAAATACAGATTTCATTCATAATATTAAAAATTTGAACTTTTATAACAATTATAATGAACAAGTAGAAATTAAAAATCGTACATTGCAATTAATTAACTCATATCAATATCTTAAAAAAATTTTATTATCTTATAATAATTTTCCTTTATATCAATCATTATTATTATCAAAAGATTATAATTGTTCAAATACTTTAAATACAATCATTTTCTATTACATCAATTTTGAAGGCATAAATAATTTAGATAAAATATTTGATCAATTAAATGTTTTAGAATCTATTCATATTGTTTATTGTTCTTTTTTAAATAATAATTTTATTCAACAAATTATTAATTTAACTAAACCATTCAAATTAAAATCTTTATTTATAAGCGAGATATCACAAATTGAATCATTAAAATTATTATTTCAAAAATCTGGTGGTCATTTAGAAAATTTTGGATATAAATTTGATTATAATTATGACCTATCATTAAAACGACAATTGTCAGAATTACTTATAGTATATTGTAATAATATCAAATTTCTTGATTTTAATGAATTTGAAGGGCAAATTACTTCATTCAATTTAATTGAAATGATTAAACATAATCTCAATTATCTTTCTATTAGCATCATTGGATATAATGATACTGAACATATTAGTTCAATTGTATTACAAAATTTAGGACAAACTCTTCCTTCTGTATTAGAATATTTAAATTTGGTTCTTAAAATTAAAGCAGATGATTTTGAAGTATTTCTAAAAAATTCTCAGGATACATTTATTAAGAAATTGTTGATAATGAATATCATACAAGGTCAAAATAGCATTTTACCTCTTATAAAAGAACATATTATGGAAAAGAAAAGGGTTAAATATTTGGCTTTTATTGATTGTGATTTTGGTTGTGATAAGGATTTATTCTCATTAAAAGATGAAGTGAAAGAATTTAGTTTGCATAATATTAATGTGAAAAGTTACTACAATGAACTTATTGACGTGTATTATTTTACAAAGGAATCTGATTAGACATTTATTAGTAATTTAAAAATATCATTTAGATTATTTTTTTTTATATATAAAATTGCTTATATATTTATTTATTATAAATAAAATTTATTATTAAGATTATCAGGAACTTTTATTACTTACGAGTTTAAAATTTGAAATCGGTAGTATATTCAAGTGTAAATTTTTTATTCTAAGTTTGGTAATAATGTAATTTGACATATCATAATTTATGCATATTATGCTTATTGATTATATCAAATTTTCTCTTGTACTTATATTGGTAACAAATATTGTATAATAGCATGCGAGTGTCCGGAAAATTGACCCATTCCGAATATTTATCGGACAAACATTTTTATAGGGACCGTATTTGCTCAAAAATAAGCAACTCGTAAAATTTATTAATGTAATTATAATTGAAAAATAATGTTTACTAAAGAAAAACCTATGATATTCTGGCAATGTCTATTCTGCCATTAAAAGTATTATCATCCTAATTACCTTATTTGTCAGTTTCAATTTCCCCGATTTCCCACTTCTTAATTTCTGATAATGTATAATCTTTGTACAAATTAGATGATCATAAATTGATGATTTGGCGCAACTTAATATAAAAAAAAGTTGTAGATTTCAAACAAATATATTTGTACCCAAAAATAACCTTATAATAAAAAAGGTTGCTTATTTTTGGGAAATACGATACTTTAAATTATACTGTATATAAAATAAATAAACAAATTAAATCATACCAAATTTATTTAAAGTTCTAAAATTTTATTACATTCTAAAACTTCTAAAAACAAATAAAAATCGTTATTATGTTTAATATATAATTAACATGAAAGTCTTATCTGTGCCATAAGCCTATCAGGACGTTAAAACCATTGTAACTTCACGTTATTTATTTGTATTTAAAGCGGTACAAAAATAAAAGTTCCAATTTTTTTTATCAGTCCATACAAGATAATTGAAATTAAGGGTTATGAAATAGACACATTTTTTCAAAAATTTAATTGTTTATTTCTGAGATCATAACTACCTTTTTAACCATAATACTATTCCGAAAAATATAAATCGGGCACAATATATAGTAATAAAGTGTAATATACAAATACCCTTTTTTTTCACTTCATTTATAATGTCATATTCAAAAATCCCTATAAAAAGTACTATACTTAAAATATACTTAAAATATATTTAAAATATACTTAATTTAAAAATTGCAAAATACTTGTAATATATTTTTAATATATCTAAAATATACTTAAAATTATCTTAAAATATATGTCTAATATATTTAATTTTTGCCCATATACTTAAAATATATTTAAATTATATTTAAATTAAAATTTAAGTATATTATAAGATGGCAATTTTTATTCATACACGGGTGTCTCAAATACGGCATCACGTGATTAATAAAAAATTGATTTTTTCAGGCGTTTAAACATGTATCATGTGATAATATTTTCATTGTGTGCAAAATTTTTTTTTATTATTTTTATTATAAAATTTAAATGCACATACATGCATATACATACTATTAAAAGTGCGCATACATGCTATAATCTAACAACTATTTTGACATGTCTTCGCATAATGTCCATATTGCTTGCACTTTCCACATTTTCGCCCTTTTGTATTATTTGTTTCCTCTTCTACTATAACGTTGTCTATTATCATATTAACCTTTGTACTATCCTTTAAAACCCATTTTCCCAAAGTTTCTACACTAGATTTAAACCTTTTTGGAGGTAGTCCTTTATGTTTAGTAATAGCAGGATTATTAATATCAGTAAAGGTTTCTTGAGTTTCTTGAATTTAAACATTCTTATTATATATATCATAAATAAAAGACTTGAGTAAATTCATCAACTCATGTTGCATATTGGCTTTAAGTGCACAATCAATAGCTTTCTTTGATAACCCAAACAATTCTGCATAAATAGCTTTAGTTGATTTTATAGCCAAATTAGAAACATGTGAATCAACCCGAAATGAAAAAAAGTGTTGAAAGGTAATACTTTTTTCCATTCCTACTCTATCTTCTGTTTGTGTACCACATACAGAAATAGGAGAAAGATTATCTAACTGAATATTGATATCTAGGTACCATCGGCTTGGAATAATATTCATGTGAAATGCCGCATGTTGAGAATAAGTACCAACTCGAAAAAAATGCCAGCATATTAATCCTTTATTGATCAAGAGAAGGCAAGTGCATAAATGTGTTCCTTCATCAAGCAGAACCACATAATGACCAATTCCTTGAGTTCCAGTTGCTCGGACAAACCATACTTCTAGGATTGCTTCTGGTGGTATATTCTTAATCAAGGATTTGAAAAGAATTTGCCGAACATCTTGTTCTTGTTCCCTGATTCCATTGCTTATCTCTTCATTATCAATCTCCACCTATAAGGTAATTGTTAGTTTAAGATTATTATAATCAACACTAATAGAACCACTTACATCTATTAAGTTTTGCCATTCTGTAATTCGATTAATATCATAACATACAGACTGATTCATTTGTGATCTTTGTTTTACAAGCATTATAGGAGTTAAAAAGGCCTTCATGACATTATCTACAGAACCAAAAAATCTTGTATTTAGCATTGGCATACCAATTGTAGGTATGGCATTTCGTTCGAGTTCAAAATATTCAAAATGTTCTTCATTTCTAACATAATCTTTGATACTAAGTAGTAAATCATATAATGAAGTGGCTCGATCAACTTTATCATGTATATGTCTGTTGATTGACTCAATTCTCTGTGTGCTTTGTGCTCCAGTAGTAAATCTTTTATGAATCCAAGGTATTGCCCAAGACTCTTTATTAATATAAAGTGTATCAGACAAATACTTTGCTGCTGCTGGATATTGATCAATCAATTGATTCCATAGAAGTTCAAATAGGTCTTCACAAAGAGAATTCCTGCATATATAGAACTTATGGAGAAATTCTTCAAACTTATTTCCTAATTTTCCCTTGAGTTTTTTTCGAAGATTCAAATCAATATGAAAAATGCACAATAGATGCTTGGTATTCACATAAATTTCTTTAATTGATTGAATCATAGAAGGATCTGAATCAGTAAAAATAACTCCAGGAGAAATACCTGTTTCAGTAAGAATAGTATCAAATAACCATCGGTATGTATTTAGTGTTTCATCATCAATTATAGCAGTTGCAACAATTCGAGACTTGTAGTTGTTATCAACTACAGCTATGATGCAAAGCATCATTTGAAATCTGTTTGTATTGTAGGTGGTATCAATAATAGTAACATCATTGTATTTATTATATAGTTCCTTTTGTGTAGGTGACATCCACAAGAGAGATTTTAGTTTTCTTGAGACAGGATCTAGCAGAAGTTTCACAATCCATAGTGGATTGGAATCCTTCCATTGCATTAATAGTTCAAGCATCTGGGAAGCATCTGTATCTCCAGGGTTATTTTTTTGACGAAATTGATAGACCGCGTTATACAAATCCTTTTTATATATAGGTTGATCTGGATAGTCATGCTTAAGTAAAGGATAAATAGATGCTGAGTCCATTCGACCTTGAATCACATACTTTTCAATATCCACCAGCATTTCAGGCATTAATTTTCGAAATCGCGGTGCTATTTCATGAACTATTGAAGTAAGTGAGTGATTATGTTCATTATTAAAAGAATTGATCTTTATAACACCACTTATTTTTGGATAGGTAACATTAAGTTTCCAAGGGCATGATGTTTTTGAAGAGCTGGCATTGCGTCTTTTAGTTGGATCAGAAGTTACTTGAGAAGTATTTGAACCTGATTTGATACATTCATAGGCTACCCTTCGTATCACGCCTTCAATCTTCTCACTTGATCTGATTTTATAACTAAAACCTTCTTTTAAAGCAAATCTATTAATCCAACTCTTAAATTCGTCCCAGCTGTTGAAGGTTAATCCAGCAATCAATTCCAAAGAATCTGTAAGTTCAACCAATTCATCTTCATTATCACTTGTTTCATAATCCTATTAACAAACATTAGAAACAAAATAATTAGATTGCTTATTAGAAGACAAAATTAATGATAAAAGAAAAAAAAATTTATTACTTGATTAGATTGATTTTCATTACAATCAGATAGGTTTTCATTTAGATTTTTGTGGGGGACATCATAATCTAGGATAACATCGTGAGAAAAATTTTCGCGTGTATCGTAAGGTAGATAGGTATCATAAGATAGATTTTCAAGGGTGTCATAGGGTAAACTGACGTCATAAGATAGATTTTCATAGTAGGTATTATTATCATAAGTGGGTGGTAGACTTTCGTGAGTGTTGTCATAAAGAAAATTTTAATAGGCGTCATAAAATAGGGTATTATTGTTAGGAATATTATCACGGATGTTATTATAGTCATGGGTGTTATCATAAGAAATACTTTCTTGATTATCATGGGTGTTATCATAAGGATGGGTATTATTGTTATTACTAAACATCTTATATTCTTATAATGAAAAGAAGAGAAAAGAACAAAATGATCGATACAGCCACAAAAATGTAACGCAAAAATAAACAGTACGTGACTTGTAATAATATGGGTTTAAACTCTTGTGTAAATTTTAAAAATTTATTATATCACGTGATTGATAATACGGGTTTCAAACACCCGTGTACAATTTGAAATTCTCTTATAAGATTATTATAAGTATATTTTTTACATACTTAAAATATACTTAAAATATGGATTTTATAAAAAATCGCCATAGCGATGTGTCGCAAGTGTTACGTGACTTTACATATGTGAATAATTTGTCACCCCGCGTCACATCCTTTAGTTTTCCATTTTTATTATTTATTCTGGGGACTTAGAATTTTTTCAGTGCAAAAAATACTATTTGTCACTCCCTATACATCACATGCTTAATCTCGGCCAAATTTTATAACGCTGGCCAAAATATCCTTTTTTGGAGCTTTAGGTAACGTTACACAATCCAAAAAAGGCAATTTTATTTTTCAGCAAAATTCAAGTT